GTTCATTTCTTGATGCTTTAGTGAAGTTAGATAAAAAAATTTACACAGACCGACATAATTAGGAAAATAGTTTACATTAATGGGCAGAATTAGGAACGAAAAACAGACTTTTTTGCAACTTCTTCTGTTTGTGCAGAAAATAAATCGAGGTGAACAAAATTGATTTATATTAAAAAATATCCGGCTCGATGCATCATCATGGCATTAATAGAATGATGTGTGTTTTATTTTAATTAAATTTCATTTTCATAGAGAAATTTAATTTCTACGAAAATTTAGTGCAATTTTACATGTAAACGGCAGAATTGGGAAAAAATACATTGACCGGCAAAACAAAAAACACAGCAGAATCGGATAGGAAATGAGCCCCCTCCTATTTTGACTGTTATTGCGAAATAACGGCTGAACATTTTTCAGACAATTATACATCAATCGATAGAGAAATGTTTGTTCTACTCCGGAAAAAAAATCCTGCTCTGTATGTCACCGGGAAGTTGAGTTATTAAAGGTTTTCTAAAGAAGATTTTTTTCCAGCAGAATTAGGTCACCTGTCTCTATATTTAATGAATAAACTTTTAGTTGACATATCCTGTTGTTATAGCACAGATTTGTTTCTTTTTAAATCATAGAAAAAAATCTTACATTTATCTTTATATTTTCTTTATTTTTCAAAAATAAATGATTTATTTATCTTTATTTCATAAAGTAAATATAAAGTAACACTCCTACTTGTAAGGTAACGCTCTGGATATCTGCATCGTCCTTAAATATTCGTGTTCAATATAGGGTGAAAACAAGATAATCGACCCCAACATATCATATCCAGACGACTTTAATCGAATTGATATATGCACAGGCGAATAGGAGGGCGTGAGATCGGCTTTATCGATATTATCACGTACATCTTTTGTTCTTTTGCGCTGTGTTGCGTGCCTGCTCTTCTTTGTACGTCTTTTATCTTTCACTCTACTTTTCTTTACAAGTCCGTCGAGTGACCTGGTATGTATATGTATGTCTACATCATCGTCGTCTCGAACATACGATGTACTAGCATGCATGTATGCATATTTTGCTCAACCATTGTCGACTTTGTCTACTATACAGTACGACAAGACCGAGAAGGTGTCTTTGGTCGCGCGCATGCGCTATAAAAGACTTCATACAAATAGAACAATCAGTTGGATTGATCACCAACACAACAAGAGTAGAGAGTAATTTATTGTTACGAAAAAAAGAACAAAATTACAATTTATTTTTCACATTATCAATGTTTCTTTTCGATTGTACAATATCGGGATGATTTGGAAGAAGAGTTTTTCGATTGAATTTATGCGCTTTTTTGAGAAATGAGAGTGCTTTCTTATACTCGCCCATGTCGTCGTACATTGAACCAAGTATATGATTGTAATAGGCTCGATCTACATCGGAAGATGCCTTTGAGAGGAGGATCTGATACAGTCGCTCTGCTTTTGCAGACTCGCCCAGTTTAATAAGTATGGAACCTAGTTGAGACCATCCTCGTATTGCCTTCAAATTGATTTCTTCGTGTATGTGTGCTGTAAGTGTGTTAATTTCATGATTATCGTTACTCGTAAGGGTGAGATTGACTTGATATAACCGATCAGTATGAACGTCGTAAATGCGTTGAATTTTATCGATATGAAATATTGTATGTGTTGAAAACAGAATTTCTTCCTCTTTACCTTTAAAGAAGCCGACGTTTTTGACATCGGCAAAAGGAATTGATGACATTGCGCATAGTTTTGGATCGATGATCATAACGAAGAGTACGCCAACCAGATTAGGATCGTTGGCAAGTGCCGCTGGTCGTGCAAAATTTTCGAGGGAGATACTGCGATTGCGACTTGTGGAAAGAAAACTGTTAAAAGATATTAGTCCACTCTTAGTTTTTTTCAGTTTGTCAAAATTATCCACTGATAAACCTTGACCTCGAAAAAGTTGAAACGAATTAGTGCTGGCAAATTGTTTTTGATCACGATGCAAGTTTTTAATACGAGGTTGTTCACTTAATATGTCATCGATTTTTTTGTTTTTGTTCAGTGACAAGGACAGGCATTGTTCATAAAATCTTTGCATTACAGAATGTATTATGTCTCAATTTTATTAGAAGTAGAAAAACAACGTTTATATATATATATGCATTTAGGATAACAATTTAACTCTATTTAATAATGAATGAATGAAAGTTTTCCTCTAAAGTATGAAGAAACATTTTGTTCTACTCATAAATGAGTGAATGACTAGCTTAAATCATATTCTATGAAATCGTACGATTCCAAGTGCTACATTTATTTAATGTAATGGCCCTCGCTAAACAGCTAAACGTTGCCAATGATCACGCAAACTGTTTGTACCATTGGAAAAAAAACTCCTAATTAAGACCATTCATTTAGTATCCAATAACAGTAATCATTCATTATTAGTGCCGAAACTTTTGCTACGAAAAAATTCTCTCATTGGTAAGAACATGTAGTAATCAGAACATGCAATATCCGAAATATTAAAAGAATGATTCAATTCGATAAGGCAGGCGATTTTTCCACGGCGGTTGTCCAAGATGATAATACGTAGCCGCTCGATGAGTGATGCATAACAGGAGCCATTGATCATCTCACCAGAAACCAGGTAGTCAATGAGTAGCATGGCATTTTTGTTCCTAAAAATGATCCGTAAGACTATCAACTGATCGTTTCTGATGGGTTAAGTTAATGGCTGCTATTGTGGTTTGTTCTGGGACTTGGATTGCAGTTTGCTAAGTGGATCGTAGTAGTACCCGCACGACTCATTTTTGGTTGTGATGCGAATGAAAAAGTTGGTTGTGTGCAGTGCACTTTTCTGCCATAGTTTCAGACAACATGCCACTTGACTAATGCGTTGAAGTAGTATAAAGAGTTTTGAATCCAACGTATGCAGATCTTGCACATGTCCAAGTGATTGTTCATGACTTCGTAGATTATGGTCTTTTCAATATCCAACTTATTTGTTATACGATCCATAGAGGCCTCTCGATCATGAATGAAAATATGTTCCACGTCTTTAATGTTTGCCTCGGTGGTTATTGTCACTGAACGACAACTTTTCAACGCATATTCAAAGCCATGTGTCGAATTCTTAAATCCAGCCACTCACTTTGCACCGGTATTGTACGCTGGAATGGAGTTCTCATAAATATTTTCCAACTCCTTACTAAATGTTGTGATATTCAGTTCATTGAATGTTTGACATATCTGAAATATAAATAAGCACTTGTGAACATTTAGTACTAACAATCTCTCTTGACCCAAACAATCAATCGAATGAATGCCTCTCCTCTCATCGTAAAGAATCCCATTCGCATACCTTTGTGTATCAATCATGTTTTAGAAAACAAGGAAACGAAGAGATTAGGGAAGAGACATAACAATATATGACATACTTAATGCGAAAATGTGCAGAACGCAGCAAACTAGAGAAGAGAAGGGCAGCAACGAAGAAAAAGTGGAAGAGTAGAACCATATCATGGCTAATAACCATGAGGAACATGGCTATGAAAATTAAATTTTACACAATTAATTAACATAGGTAGCTTGTATATCAATTGAAACAGCTCGCTTGCTTGTTAAATACAACATTGATTGGTTAGGATTAGTTACGCCTATCTATTGATGGTAACAAATGTAATTGTTTTTGACACAACAGTTAATTTCTTTGTGCGTTATACGTAGGTTTTTGAAACGATCAGCTTTAGTGAAGCTGTCCGATTTCCTCATGTCATCGATTGTGTAACGAAAAGTGAATAAGTAGTCTTTTTTTTTACAAAGCACTAGCTACATAAAGCTAACTTTTTATAAGTCATCTGATGATGTAGATATTTTTATCTAAAAAACCAAACATCCATTTTATGATAATTTTAAGTAATACTATGACAACGTTCTTTTTGTTTTGAAACACTCATGGATTAATCAAAAATCATTGTAAGTTATGATCAATAAAAATTTTTGTTATTGATTACAAATGAATCTTCATTAAAATATGGTTACTGATCGATCAAAGTTTTCAAATTAACATAAAAGAAAAAACCGATGACATGTAATAAATGATTGATTGGTTTTTGCTGTCGTTCTCTCTGACTCTTTGAAAGAATTTAATCAAAATCAGGTATAATACAGAATGGAACAAGGTATGCTCCACATATTGATACCATATAACTTATATATATATATAAATATGTATTTGTCTTTGTTTGGAGGCTAAGCCATAATTGAATGAGTTATTTTCCCTTCCCTGAAAAAATAAATTAGTATTGTTGGAAGACACCAGCCACAACATATTTTGAATTTGTCTGTTAGAGAGAAAGTGATAAACTCTGAACTTATATTTAATTGCATATTCACCACTCAAAAAAATACGCCAACTAAGTTTTGTCTTCATGGGTCCCATCGAGATTTGTCTTTGAATATATTGTCTTATTTTCAATAGTCATTAGTTCTTTCCTGAGTGTTCTTCTACGCACACAAGTGTAAATGTTTTCGCACTGCTGCTTTTAAAAAAGTTCTATATGTCAGCCACATGCATAGAAGAATCTCAGAACATCATATAACAAAATTTCAGTATATTTCTTTGATAAAAATACATGACTGATGGCAACCGCTACATAATCCTAATCTCAATGTTGTAAGCTATTACAGGCGGTGAGACGATATTGACGAAGTGCAGTTTCCAAGGTTAGACTCTATGTCGGTCTTTAATCAGCATATTACAAAAGAATGTATTGTTGTTGTACCAAAAATTGGTCTAGTTCGTAGGGTCGAGAAATAGCTCACGTTATTTTTATGTGGTCTTAAAAAAAAAGAGAAGCATTTGAAAATAACCCCATCAATATGGAGTGTGTGGATAGTGATGGTGATGTTGCAGTTGTCACACTTAAAGTCTAAGCATGTACAACTTAATTAAGAAAGAGACTGCACATGCATGCAGCAGGCTTGCGTAATTTTTGAAAACTACCTATGTTGATGTAAATCTCGAATAAAAAAGTTCATTTTGACTATGATATCAACATCCATTAGCTGAAAACCACGATTAAGCATTGAGTGCATAAAATACGGAGCTGTATACCACCAAATGGGTGTATGGTGGTGATATTCGAGCTCGACCTTATTAATTTCATCTTCAGTAATATCATCTTGAAGACGACAGTAGTCAACAAATTCTTTAATAGATTTTGTATCATCGTCTTCAATTTTCAAAAGTGCTTCTTTTAATAATTGCGTATACGTAAACAACATATCAATACCATTATAACTAATCGAGATCATAGCTCGATCACAATTTTTACGATTGATTTGTAATGCTTCACAAATTGATTCTATTGTTGTGTGCACACCTTTAACTTTAGATATTGCTCTGGCCCATTCTTCATGAATTGATTGATTACTACAGAAAACATAAACCGAATCCAATTGTGGCCATGCGTGAATTTTCGGTATTACATGCTGTCCCAGTGAACCAGATACGATCATAAATACTTTTTCTTTTTTATTTGCACTGAGAAAATCAATGCATTCATCAGCATCCGTAAACGTTGTGATTGATGCTCCTAAATACTGTATTTTTTGTAATGATCTCTTCAAATCTTCATCGGATTTGTTTAAATTAGCATCAAGCCAGATCAAAAGGAAATTTTGAGGTACTCGACGCTCAGGTTTTGGTAGCACAATCGTACCATTGGTGGGGGTTATCACTGCTAGTTCACTAGCAGCGGTTACTGTCGATTTTCGGTTGCTCATGATGAATGGATGCAATTAGTGAGACGTCGTTGTCCTAAATATATAATTCTTTATTTCAAAAATGTTGCTAATGAAGCGATGATGCCCGAGAGGTAGAGTCTCTTTATACCAAGCAAGAAGCAAAGAAGAATACTCAAGTCAACAAAAAAAAATGAAAACGAACGACATGAGTGTGGATATGAGCGTTTATGAAGAAAAGATCTACATCAAACCCAAAATAATACGAATATTTTTTGTATCATAATTTTATGTCACGTTATAGACGGATTCTTACCAGAAGAATTTCAAAACCGATTTAGACTGCATAAATGTAGTCTAGTTTTAATTTTAAAAAGGATTAATTTAATCTAACATGAAATAAAATCATAATACTTATAGAAAAACTTTTCTCTTCAACGCAGAGAAATGATTAATCTATTCTGCATACGATATTATTTTTTGTATTCATTTATTTTTTCTAAAACCTAACGAAAATAATTATTTTTAATTTATAAAAAATCAAAAATAGTCGTATTTGAACTTGTATTGATAACTGTGTATTCGAATAAAAATTCCTATTTATCTATTTGAAAATTTAAAAAAATATGTAAAATTTGATTAAATAGCGTCTACAAGTGTTTTTTTTTCGGAATGTAAAGATTAAGTTTTCGATCATATTATTCAATCATCTAAACAACAGATACTGACGAGTCTTTTTTGAGAAAAAGACTAGACAATATATGTACGATGGTGCCTGTCAATGACGGACCAGAGATAAAGTTCAAGGATACATCAGACCTTAGACCAGCCCTGAATCAGAATCTTTTAAAACAAATACTCGATATTTAATTCGTTGCTTGCTCACTGGGTCAATAACGAAAAAGACTAAAATGAATGCATTATCGTGATCCATAGGAAAGGAAAAAAACGAAAATTGTACATAGAAAGAGAGAGAGAGAGAGAGAGAGAGAGAGGGGGAGAGGGAGAGAGAGAGAGAGAGAGAGAGAGGGAGAGAGAGAGAGAGAATAGAAAAGGAAAGGAAAAAAATATCAGCATACAGGTACTAATAGGTCACCGACACTTGAATGAAGACGCATACACATGCATAGGATAATATGAAGAGAAAAAAAAATATACATATAATAAATAATGATGAATGTTGTCTGAGTCCTCTCTAACAGGTACTCTCGTTGAAATGTAGCCATAGAAAAACTCACTCTGTCTAACGTAGTTTGCAGTAACACTATTTTATGTGTGAATTCTACTTCAATTAAGACAATCGATTGTATATTCTGAGTATCATTAAGCGTAGTTCTCTTACAATGACTTCATGGTCATCAAAATACTTCATGTGTATGTCTCGTCATTTTGCTTGTTTGTAAATACTCTTTACTTTTAACTTTAGTTTTATCACTAGTCTAGTCATGTTGAAAACTAAACATACTTACGTGCTAGGTGACACTGGAATGAAGAAATTTTGTTTTGTGTGCTTGCAATCAGTTTCACTCCGTATTTATTACTGACAACATAAATTTTTTTCAACAAACATATATTCACATGAATCAATGGAGCATGACTTTTTCCCCAGGTAGACAGTGTTTTTTGTCCATGTGCTCATCATCATATATATTTCATTCTTCATGTGCTTTTTTTTTTGTTTTTTATACTTAACCTTGTGTTTCGTTTTGTTGTGACGAGAAAATATACGGTGATTTTTTCCTACGCGAAAATTTAAGTTATAATGCTTCATTAGACTTTGAACTTTATTATAATCTCTATGAGTATCTCCTTTTATAAATTCTTTTTTTTAAACAGAAGATTTCACAATCAGTACGAAAGCTCGTAAATAAAAAGCTGAAAAATTTCATTAATATTGTTTCATTCAATCTTTCCGTTTATCAAAAATTCTATTTAAAAGTGAACTTTAACTGACTGCATTCGAAGGCGACACAGCGAATGTAGTTTAAGCAAAGAGGAAAAGTTAGACTCCAATACATGAAGTACAAGTGAAGTACTTGAAGTCTCGCTTTTCCCCTTGCTCAATATACACTCAGAAATTGAATGTGAATCAATAAAAATTACAGATGAGTCAAAGAAGAGAAACATCGCTTGGGAGTCATGTTTCAATAAAATTTAGTGATGCAGAACGTATTGGATTAGAAGAACTCAAGATGAACAAAAATGATTATATAGGTAAAGTAAATCAAACTTTGCAAGACTCAAAGAAGTTTAGTAAGATCAAAAATGATCAATCAAGAAAAAAAGAAAAACAAATTTATAGTATTCCAATGCTTTATTGTACAATGAATGTGCATGTGTCAGGCAAAATTGAGTATTAGGCAAACTTAAACCTAGATTTTCAAAATTTAAATCTTTAAGCGAAATTAAACTTCATTGTTTCGGTGATTGATGGAAAGTAGTGAAATTTGTAAATTTTATAATTTTTGGGTGTATCCATGGGGTCTCACCAGGACCATCGGGTGACCACGCCCAAATCGATTGACGCTTTTCAGGGTTTGTATAGCTTTTTGCGCTGATCATTTTGGTAATAAATTTCTTAGGATTCGACCGTGTTTTCGCATAGATATAGGTCAAATACTATTTATGCTATTTTATATACAAAATCGAAGCGGTGGCTTATCAAAGAAACGATGACAATTCATCATTAGCCGCTCGAATTTCAAAACCAATTACAGATTCAGATTCTTCGTGAAAAACTATGCCACAATCCTTATGAATTGAAAATTTTGCTATGATTTTTCTTTTATATACATGTTCACTAGAACAGCATGTCAACGAGAAAAAGTGTTGAAAAAAGTCAATAAGAAAACTGGAATTCCCCAGAATGGTGGTAGTACCAGTTCGATAGAGCAGAACTTGCTCTACAAGATGTACTAATTAGTTTTCTTCCCACCTATGATTTGGAAGAGAACAAAGTCAAAAACTATTTTATACTCGAAATTTTCACTAAATTTCGATGACTAAATTTGTAAGATCGAATCATTAAATTCGATGATCACTTCGAAATTCACTGAAACTTTCAGAACTTATACAGTTTGTTGCGCTGAACATTTTGGTATAAAATTATCCAGTATTCGATTCGATGTTGATGAACATATAGGGGACATAATATAAATAGATACTTTCTTTTTATGACTATTACTCATAAAAAACGTATCTTTCATGAAATAAAGGTGATAGAACTATAGTATTTGCTTAGATTAAAAATCTGTTAATATATTCGAATTCAGCATGTAAAACTACACCAGAATCTATAGAAAATATATGAACTGTTCAATATTCATGTTATGTCTGTATGATCGAGTGGGATATATAAAGAAAGGAAAGTGGATGAAAAATTAGATTCAAAATTCAATCAAAAAATCAAATTATATAAAATAAGGAAATAATCAATTCGATAGAAAAGAATTTACTCTACAACGTGCATTAATTAGTTTTTTCCCTACTTTTAATTTTGGAGGAAACAAATGTTGAAAATATTTATATATAAATGTTTATTAGCTATAAGTTGATGTATGTTTAGCTTCTTTCGCTATAAATTCTGTGAAAAAGATTTTGCTAATCATAGTATCATGTTTAAGCGATGGATATTTCGATTGGATTAGACATTATTCAATAGGATTAGTGTTATAGAAAATGGAGGCCTTTTCATGTTGGTGAAAATTACCGATTCGTCAACAAAAATATATGACTCATAAACATCGTTTTTGAGTGATATTCATTGTGTTAGTTATCTGATTGTTTTCTCAATTCTCAAAATTATTCTTCACTATGCCATCTATATCTGGAATTTGATGTGCTTATCCTTATCATGATGAAGTTTTTGGCAAATGGAAAAAAGCGTTTCTCAGAACTCGGCTCGAAACCATCACATTTGAAGGGAAAAAGATTAATCAATGAGGAATTGGTCGAATTTATCAATAAGCATAAGAAAAGCAATATTAAACGAATCTTCCAAACAACTTTGAATGGGTGATTATCTCGGTTTATCATGTTTCATAAAAGAAAGAAATCGGTGTATGATTGATGAACAAAAAGACATGGATATTGATGATAATCAAGGAAGTCTCAACTACGATAACCTCGATAGTGGTTCAGATAATCAACAAAATTCTCCAATAGATGATGAATATGTACGCATAGAACAAGAAGATGCTAAACTGAAATTGAATCAGGTGCTTGAGTATGTGAATGTTAAGAAAATCGACGACATGTAAGTTCCATACTTTACAGATTAAACATAAAAAATTTGTTTTTTCATAGTCGAAATACTAAACAAATTGACAATGCTGTAGACGAGACGTATTTCAAATTAAAAGAATGTAGTAATATACTTTTATCACGTTCTCGTCATACTAATGAACCAAGAACATTGTCTTCACTTGATCTTTCAATTGATGATGCTATTGGGATTCTTGATCGTCTACGCGAACTTTTCAGCATTAGTAACAATAAAGAACAACAACGACTTATGACTAAGTTACCACCGGAATGGGACCGAGATCGAATTTCTGATTGGTTACGTGGATCGCAGCATCAGGCACGGAAGTCTATCGAATTACAAACAACGACTGGAGATTTTTCGTACCCTGAAGATCGACGAGGAAATAAACCACTTGATAATCAAATAGAACTGGCGGTCTATAACTTTTATACATGTGATGAAATCAGTTGCGAAACATCGTACAAACAACAAGTCATTCATCCACCACCATTTAGAACTCCAATTCCATTACGTTTTCTTCATCTAACAATTGGAAAAACATTTGAACAATTTAAAATGAAATATCCAAACATGGAAATAGGTAGATCAAAGTTTTTTTCATTACGACCCACATGGGTGAGAGAACGAACACGTCATGAATCATATATGTGCATTTATCACGAGAATGCTGATCTATTTCTCCCAGCAAGTAATTCATTATGCTTTAGGATTCTATTCAGTCTCTAAATTTTAGGCTGCATCAAAATCTCTTCAATAGATTGTGATAATAAAACAATTAGTCGAAAAACCAATTTGCACATTTTCTTCTGAACATTGTTATTATCGATCATGTACTAATTGTCTTCATTTGAAACCATCTGACATTCTATCTGATGGTATAGATGTTGAAATTCATGATTCAGCTTCCTGGTCTATTTGGAAGAAACTTAATTCACATTATGAACTTCTTCATTTAACTGGTACATTTCGAGCTCTTTTATAAGAAATCGATAACCTATTACCTAATTTTATCACACACAGTTTTTATACACGTGAACAACGTGATTATATTGCATTGATCAAAGAAAAGTCGAGCATTACTACTTTGGCAGTTGTTCAGGTTGACTTTGCACAAAATTTTATATTCGTTATACAGAGAGAAGTTCAATCTGCATATTATTCACGGCAACAAGCCACCTTTTTTACTGTATATATAAGAATTGGTGAAGAACATCGCACTATGGTGATCAAATCGGACTATCTTGTACATGATACAAGATTTGTCTATTCTAGTCAGAAAATCATCATCGACTTTCTGAGGAAAGAATATCCAAATGTTTTTAAAATTAATTATGTGAGTGATGGAGCATCCACTCACTTTAAAAGTAAGTATTCGATACTTCAAACTGACCAAATGAAATCTTGTTTCCTGTAGATAAATATAATATACACAATTTAGCTCATCATCATCAAGATTTTCAGATCGAAGCATCATGGTCATTCAGCTCGTCAGGACACGGCAAAGGACCATGTGATGGTCTTGGTGCTGTGGTGAAAACGACGGCTACACAACAATTACTCAAAGGTAGACCAAATGCATCGTTTTCAACCCCAAAACAATTTTTTGAACGGTGTCTTGAAAAAAATGATCGTATGGTGGTGGCAAGATCTCGTCGAATGGAAGCTTCAAACGGTCCATCTACTTATATGCCCGACCTTAATAGTCCTATCGAAGTGCGCTGGCTATCTGCTGCTATTATCAACAATGAATTCGAAAATCGTTTTAGTACTGCGTTGTAATCTACTCTCCTCCAAAAGTATCATTTTATTACGTAAACTTTCTGTAACAGTATTAATTTTCTNTGTGAAAGCTGAAAAAAGTGCGATCGTTAAAACGCCAAAATTCGGACATTTTTGACTGTGTAAAATGCGTTACAAGATAAAACGCAAAACGGTCGTTATAACGCGTCAATTTAACTTTTCTGCTTGCTTGGGTATCGATCAAAAGTTGAAACAGTTATAACTTGTGTTATAGTTATCAACTGTTTTTACACAACAAGCTTCTTAGTTTTGTAATTGAAATGAATAAAGTCGAAACAGCATGTTTACGTATTCTTTTCTTGTAAATACGAATCGGTAATCGCAACTTGGTCGAAAGTAAAAATGTCGAAACAGACTTAGTTTTTCTTTATTGAGTATATAAAATAATGAATAGTTTAATTTGAATGAAATTTAATAATTAAAAAACACGCGGATGAAAGACAAATAAAAAAGTTCTCGATAAGTCAATTGATCAATGTAAGTAATTTTTTTGGCGCATCATTTCTTCTTCGCAACAATGAAAGATAGACCAATAGGAAGATCAGATGCACTGAGTAAATAATTACTATAGCGATGATACAAAGTATCTATTCGATGTTGTAATGCTGCTGTACGCTTATTTATTTTCTGTGATGCACCCGAAGACCATTGAAGATGTATATTTTGCACCCGTTTCTCTTCTGTTTTCATGAAATTGATAAGTTTGCCAATATATTTGGATGACTTCTTTGCATTCGACTATTTATTAGATTATGATAACCTGAAATTATAAAGAAAAAAGAATTATGTGATTGATAAATTACATTCACCACCTTCACAAGTGTTATTGATACGACTATCAGGTCCAAATAAATTCCACAATTCAGTATTTGATATCCAATGGTTCTCGAAATATTTCAGTAATACTAACATCGGCGATCCGGATAAGCAATGAGCTGCATTATTTATATCTTCAAAACTACCTACCACTTTATCAAGTGGCATTAATGCCAATGTCATCATCTTACGGCACAAAAGACGAAAAGTTTCATCAATTAAATAATGTTGTTGTAGCCTAAACCCTTGTATTTGTTTATAGACTGCCTGACACAAATGAAAAAAACAGCATTTATGGCTGGGTGATGGAAACTGAAAGTAAACAAATAGATAAGAAGAAAAATATGTTTTCTCAATCAAAACAAGATATACTAACTTCTGATTTCACTGCAGAAATTAAACTCGGTTCAAAGTCAGACTTAATTAATGATGGTGAAAATTTGATTCCTTTCCTTGTTGCAATATTTTGCAACTCAGCGAATATTTGTTTGTATGTAGCGGCTTTTTTATCCACTAGTAGTCAAAAAAAACTAGGCACACCTTAAAAGAACAAGTTTTAGAAAGAAAAGAAAAAAGACTTACTTACAAATATCAAAATCAACAGCGTACACTATAAATAACTGAAAAAAATGAGTTGGTGTTTTACTAAAAGTTCCATCCATATAAACTATTGGAGAATTAAATAATAAATCGACTTGAACGTCACTAGAAAAAATTAACAAGCGTTCTCGTCGAACACGAGTTTCATCAAGCAATAAAAATTGTTTTCTTTCAATTGTCAATGTATATTCTTCGGGAATATCAAAGATACATGATTGTGGAATTGCTGGTATTGCTTTTCGTCGATTCTTCGCGATGCCTTGATCTACAATAAAACAAAGAATTTTTCTTGTGTATTATCATCAATGAAGTTATTTACATATTTCATGAACCGACGGAAATATGGCGATTGCTGTTGAACTCATAGATGTTTTGGACATTTCGTCATCATAAACAGCTCCTATTGGTGTTAGGGTGTGGGTGTGGGTGTTACCAGAACTAGAATACTGATACCTACACGCACACTCCACCCACACCCTGTTTCGTCCATTATTTGCTGCTTACAATGTGTTAATTCGTCATCTTATAAATCGCACCCGTTTTCAAGCTCGAACCAGTCGTAACATCGATCCGCTATAATCCCGTATATTTCAAGCGTCGAACAATCTCAAATGCCATTCGTTTGGTATAGTACAATCCGTCTATTGAGACGAATGATGGAACCAAACAATTATTGCGTAGGATAGATTCGAATCTCATATGTTTCTCTGATTCAACTTTGTGTTTGGCGACTGTCAAGAAATTTAATTGTGAGGAATGTAAATCAGTATTTCTTATCTTACCTAGTTCATTAACCAGAGAACTATTTGATGAAATTATTCCAGAGACACATAGCATCTTCATATTTTCATTCAATAAAACGAATTATGTCGACTTAGCTAACGAACCCAAAATCATAAGCATTAGTAATTCGTCTTCTAATTTGGTTGACAGTGTGCAAAATGCTTGAACAACAGTCGAACATGGTTATATCAAAGAAGACGAACAGGAATCATGCCGAAAGCTTTCAAAAGAAACAGCCAACTTTTTATGCTTTTGTATCTTTCGAAATGCTGTCAGCCATTTACACAAATCTGTTCAAGCTAAGAACGATATGATGCGTTGTTTGCAAGAATATTTTCGAAATGATGATATTCAATCGAAGAAGCTAGAACAGTTTATTAAAACCTATCAATCAAATGATGTTTTTTGGTGGTATACTCAACCAAACTTTATTTCTGACGTTATTAACAAAGTCTTGCGTTCTCTAGATCTGGATGCATTGTTTGATTTACGGTACTTCATTATTGATCTTTGTCAGCACCTTAAAGAAAAGCAAAGTTCTGGAGCTGAACTCATTGTGTATCGTGGCGTTCTTATGGATAGGAATAAGCTCGACGTAATGCAAACATCCATTAATGAAAACGAATTCATATCTATGCGTGGTTTTCTATCGACATCCCGTGGACGGTAAATAGCTGAAATGTTTAGTTGCAATAGCAATAACGATCCAAATAAAGTATAGCATTTGTTGAGAAATGAATAATCAATGCCTTGCTTCCGTTGATTTAGGTTGAAATCATCTATGAAATTTATTTTGCTCCCAATTTATCACATGTTGTATATGCTGACATAAGTGAATCAGGTTTATTTCAAGAAGAAGAAATTCTTTTTGATCTCGATTCAACATTCCAATTAAAAGACATCATACCAGATGCAGCAAAATTTGATCGTTTCGTTATTCAACTTTCTGCTACTGATCAAAGTCGGTTTCTAGCCGAAAATTATATTAATCTCATTAATCGAGAATTACATCAACATGCACCTGAATTACTATTTGGAGAACTACTCATTGAGATGGGTAATACTGATAACGCCATTGAATATTTTCAACGAATATTGGACCAATCAAATACACAGCTACCAGGTAAGCCAAATCATAAATTTTATATTTCACAGTGCTTTCCTGAATATATATTATATATATTAAGTTAAACGATAGTCACGTAGAGAGCATTGCATACTACACTTATTGTGTGTTAATTTAAATGCACAATAGAATTTGCTACATAGAAATACTTCGATATATATATATATTGTCGAATTGATAGAATATGTCTATCAATAAATAAAGATGTGACAGTGATGGAGGTTGACTTAATTGAGACTACAACTAGTGTACAAGATTTCTTTAGGATGAACAATATGATGAACGTCACTTTTCAATCGTGAGCATCTGATTGATTTTTCTGGAAACAACGTTTGATCTTGGCAGTTTTCTTTTTAATTCCAGCAATGAGCTATAGCAACTCAGTATTTACTCTGATAGTTATGTAGTTTTGATTTTATATTCGTTAATAGTCACTCCTTTAGTGAAGAAAGAGGAAAAACTTAATTCTTTCATTGAACAAAAAAAAGTTGATGCAAAAATATGATAAATTGAAATTTGAGAAAATTATGCTTTTCTTTCCATGCTTTTGACTTTATAAGAAACACCTTATGTTTGGAAGTATACGATCTTTATCGTTTTTCTTTTTTCAAAGAACTTTCATTTTATTCGGTTTTATTATTTTGACCATACAATCAAAGAATAGACGTTTCACATAATTATTTTAAAAAAATGATAAGACTGTAAAAGCATTTGTTTTCTTTAGAAAGTACGTTTGTTGTGACACGGGCCATTCATAGCATCGTATTGAATAATATCGGTCATGGCTGGTACAAAAAAAGATGATTTTATTAAGGCAATGGAGTATTTTAATCAATTATTCGTTCTTCAACAGATAGAGCCAATGCTTAATAATCGAATTGCTGATTCAATAAATAATAAAGGTGTTATATTGATGGAGAACGGTTATTGTGAAGCGGCATTGAAAGAATTTGAAAAAGCCATTGGCATCATGACTAAGAACAATACAAATTCGAGGTTGTCTGATATTTTTACCAACATGGGTATTATCAAAACACAATTGGAAGAATATCAGAGAGCACTTGAGCTGCACCAGCGAGCAGGTGAAAGCATGCTAGTAAAAGATAAACACGAGAATTATCCGGATGTAGCTGAAAGTAAAATGAATATTGCATTTATTTATATTTCTCAAGCAAGATGGTCTGGGGCAGAAAATATATCGAATGAAGTAAAATGAATCTATGAATACATATTGCCTAGAACCCATCGTGATATCGGTCGAACATTGTTTTGCATTAGCATTGTGTAAATATCACAAAAATGCTACAAAGAAGCTCTTGATTACATAAGACGAGCGTTGAGTATACATGAAAAGTCATGCAAGCAAAATAATTTTTAGTATAGCCATGCATGTAAATGTTTTTAGAAACGCAAAGATTCCCTCTATCAGTCTTATCGACTAAATGCAATATTATACGAAATAAGTAGCACTATATCACTTTCGTATAATACCGATCGATTCTTGTGTTCAAGCACATATTGTTCCTAACCAATATGATAATACTAATATATTATAATAGTTCGTTTTTTATATAGTTAATAAACTATCCCATTAATATAGTAATCATGTACTAAATGTATCAAAGATTTTAATTCTATAGCTTGGATGGAATCTGATTTTAACTTCTTAAATGAATAGTTTTTTTTTAGCTTATTCATTGATACAGATAATACTAATCTACTCACAAAGAATGATACGAGTATTCGTTCAATCCCTTAATATCAATTCCAGTCGTTGCTGACAAATTACTGATATTTCGATTCAACATACTACTATTAAAAGGCATCCAAGTTCTCAATACATTATCAAAATGTTCATCGACACATGATAGTGAAAACGAAACACATTAATGAAAAACAAAAGAAGTAATCTATATTCTTAGGATATTGTTTTCTTTCAATGTTTTTCGTATACTAGGGCAGAGAAATCGAATAGTTTGTTCTCCTCTACATAAAATGAAGAAGAGCCTGATTCTTGATTCGAATCATGTAATTTAATCTGCTTCATGAATTTTTATTTCCAATGTCAACTAAACATGAAATTGAAGCACCCAACTTTATTTCAAAGCACAAATTTAAAGCTTCATCATATCATATTTTTTCATTGAATAAATACGACAACACCGATAGGACTAATAGTAAGATCAATATAGAGAATGGTGATGAGAACGCTGCATTCTGACAACTCTCATTTGTTATTGTTGTTGTTGGTGGTGTTGGCGTTGTTGACTCTGTATGTGTTTTTAAGATTCGATTAAGCAAAGCACCCAAGCGATAACCGGCTTGAATGAGACGTTTTTCGACAACAGGCCAACTTCGTTCATAATACACATGGCTCAAATTGAAGCTAGTCGATGAATTCATTATCACGTTCATTTCATCGAAATAGACTTGTTTACAAACAATATCTATACTTTCAACAATCCATTGCATAAAACTATCATTATTCATTTCTACAGTTTGATTTAACATCTTCAAATAAAGATAATCATAGTAGGAATTAATATTCGATTGAAATGTATTGCGTAGACGATATGACAATATACCAGTATCCCATAAAGAATGTAGATTAGTTGAAGTATTCATAAAACGAACTAAATCCATAGAAAGAAAACGAAACTTTTATTTTTTCCATTATCAATAATATTTACCTGTAATACCATTTCCACCTGCATCATCTTTAAAGCCTACATGTAACGGTTGATGAATATCACTAGCAAAATGAACCAGAAAGAAAAAATCTTGTTGATGTTGTACACCATTCTTATAAGTCATTAGTCGTGTGGAATAATTTTTTAATGCACCATAAGTACATATATCATTGATGCAATCTCTTTCATGTACGTAATTACAACTCCACGGAGGTATATTGATATAATGCAATGGTCGAGACCATTGCCATCGGCTAAAACCTAACATATTGTTATTCGAATTGTGAATGCTGTCTGCCCAAAACGATATTTCACTCATGTCTCTCGTCAAATGGGTTTGCATCCATTCGTATGCTCTTTCATCTAATTGGCTTTGCGCAAGATGAGCAATAAGACTATGACCAAGATTGCCCCATCCTTGTACATGCGGTGTTACTGCGTAAAAAATGAGAAATAACAACAATGAAGACATTGAAGTGATCGTTTTTTTTTTCATTTCTTTTCTTTTGCACATATATATATATACGCCAAAATGACAGATTGGCACTTCAAATAAAATTTTCAGATCATCATATTTGATTAGGTTTACATTTGTTCTATGAGACCCTAGTTTCTTCTATTATCGTAAGCAAATAATTCATTTGATATGAGGCGAGTTTGATTGCCACAAGCGCAATTGAAATCATTAATACCTTTGTTAAACATGTCTCACATAAATCTGCTATTTATTATAAAACCTTCTTTTCTTTTATTTATTGTGGCAAAATTTCGACTATTTGCATAGAGTATCATTTTCACAATTGCAATCATTTAGTATTTAATTTTATGAAAAAGAATAGCTACCTATGTCGAGTTCGAATATAAACCGAATTTTGAAAATGTCATCGGCTCTTACATAGTCAAAGCCAAAGATAAATATTTTCTTAATTCGAATTATAAATCCAAATGAAAAAATATTTATCTTTAGTTTTTTTGATCGTTCGAACACGCATGCTGGTTCGAATATTTTTTCATTTATTTTCGAAGTATTATCAAGCTCTTGGAGCTTCATTTATATTCGAACTCGAATTGGGTATCTCATGAAATAAGGTAAATAGAAAATAAACAATTATGATACGTTCTGATGTAGGATAGCAAAAGTATCTTTACGAATATATCGCTGAACGCTGTCATAATGACTTTTGATGTCTTGAATGCTAGTCGATGACCTTTATCTTCTCATTCCATTGATAAGTAGTTTTAGGGAATCGGTGATTAGAAGCTTTTCCTTCTTCTATATCTGCCAGATTTTCAAAGATTATTTGGTTATTTGTTTTTAGAAAAGACACAAAACATTCTTGTGAGACTTAATTACTTCACCAAATTGTAGTAGATGGCGATTGTTCGATTGGACTAGCTTAAATACTTGCTTGAACACATGAGATGTTATCTAACGAAATCACTGCTTGTGGTATTTCAAATACAATTTGTTATTCCCATTTTATCAATTATAAAATGAATTACATTTGGTCTAATAGCTTTTCTTAATGTATAAAGTATGATAATATGTGAAATTCCTATTATTCGTTTGAGACAAGATTGACAATTAACAGAAATGGTTTTATAATAGAAATTAATTTTTTTTAATTGAAGTAGTTTTTAATAATATAAATGAAATAACAATAAACGCAATCAATAGATTTCTTCATGAAAAACAATTTTATATTATTCAGCTTTTGTCGTAGATTCGTTTTTTGTAATGTCATGAGTTTTTCTTGAAGTAACATCATTATTTAAGTATGTGCAAACAAAAGATAAAAATTATCGTAAAGATATCAGTCGTCTCAGCAAAAATAAATGTAAAAAGAAAAAGAACGAAAGTGTGATTAACTATTACGTTTTTTTTTTTTATAGCTTTTTAACACATTAATCCGAACTAAATCTCAAAGAGCATAACTGTAAATTATGTTAGGTTAACAGAAGCCAATAAAAACGATTCACTCCGTGCATGAAACAAGAATATTTTACCGNATTGTAGTAGATGGCGATTGTTCGATTGGACTAGCTTAAATACTTGCTTGAACACATGAGATGTTATCTAACGAAATCACTGCTTGTGGTATTTCAAATACAATTTGTTATTCCCATTTTATCAATTATAAAATGAATTACATTTGGTCTAATAGCTTTTCTTAATGTATAAAGTATGATAATATGTGAAATTCCTATTATTCGTTTGAGACAAGATTGATAATTAACAGAAATGGTTTTATAATAGAAATTAATTTTTTTTAATTGAAGTAGTTTTTAATAATATAAATGAAATAACAATAAACGCAATCAATAGATTTCTTCATGAAAAACAATTTTATATTATTCAGCTTTTGTCGTAGATTCGTTTTTTTTTAATGTCATGAGTTTTTCTTGAAGTAACATCATTATTTAAGTATGTGCAAACAAAAGATAAAAATTATCGTAAAGATATATCAGTCGTCAGAGCAAAAATAAATGTAAAAAGAAAAAAAAACGAAAGTGTGATTAACTATTACGTTTTTTTTTATAGCTTTTTAGCACATTAATCCGAACTAAATCTCAAAGAGCATAACTGTAAATTATGTTAGGTTAACAGAAGCCAATAAAAACGATTCACTCCGAACAGAAAAAGAAGCAAAACTCCAATATCGTGATGAGGTTTTAAAGACAGTTGACAGTCGAAAAAAAAATTCAAAATGACGATAGTTATGTCCAGGTTAGTGCATTCGAACTGGTTCCGAGCGGAAAAGTTGGAAATCAATGGAAGATGGAAACAGTATTCCAGCTAGAAAGTCTCTGAATTTCAGCCAATATTCTGTTATTTCCGACAGGAAACGACCATGAGTCACAAGAAATATCCGGAGATATTCCGGTTCGACGTACTGTTTCCACGCTTCATCGATTTCGAATTTTTCTTCCGATCATTTCCGGTAAAATATTCTTGTTTCATGCACGGAGTCCACTAGATTTTTTGCTGAAAATTCTGTTTTAACATTTTTTATTCTATATCGTATGTGATAGAAGTATGATACTTTTAATAAGATTTATCTCAATATATATATATATATATATCTTAGTATAAATTCATTTGTCGTTAGATGATTTCTTTTTCAGTGGATTTATTCTTAAAACATTATTGTATCATAGATGTTGTCATACAAACTCCTTAATATCAAATAATTCCTCTCGACATACAATCTACACTTTCATATAGAATCTCTTGATGACGATTCTAAATTTGTAGGTATTCGAAAAGTAATAAAACATTTTTTTTAATAAACAAAAAGATTGCGTTTATAACATAATTACAGAGATTACTCTTTTTTTTGGTTGTTGAATGACATGGAATATACGAAAGAACAAAAAAACAACAATAGATAGAATCCTACAGAAAATGAACACGCAACTGATAAAAAATACAAACCAACAAAAAGAAAAGGATTATGCTGTATTAGCACCTATAGATGATGAATAAGATAATTCAATATCAATAGATTTAGATATATAATTTCGTAGTGATTCAACAAGACCAAGTTGAACATTAGCTAATGAACTGTTTATAAGATATTGTGGAAGCCAGCCCTATTGAAACAAAAAACAAAGTATTATTTAGAAAATTAATTAATTAAAATATGAAATCAGTTACTTTTAAGTCAACATTAAGTAACCAAGTAAATTTACAAGTTGTTGCATCAATTTTTTCAACAATATATGCTGTTGGTCCGTTTTCTGCTCTTTTAGTTAATAAATTATGTTTTTTAATATTGATATAATTTTAACAAAAAAAGAAAAATAATAAAACTTACCGAACACAACTAAAAGAAAAACAAATGAACGTAGAATTTAAATTGAAAAAGCATAAGAAAAAAAAAAAATTTTCAAATCTTACTTGTTATTTGGAGGCATTTTTGGATAAGAACATGCTTGTGCTGCTAATATTGCAATATCATCAATAAGTCGACGTATTGTTAAATTAACGAAATCACGTTTCGCAATAAAACCTTGTGCTTGTTCATTAGTTAATTGATAACTAACCGAGAAAAAACAAATAACAAAAATCTAAGATATTGAATCGAATTCAAACCTATAATATTCACTTACGTTATGTACAAATCATTATTAATAATTTCTAATATCTATGAAATAAAAAATATATATAGCAATTTATTGTTGTAATAAAACTTTAAACAATCTTATTATAAAAAATTATTATTTATATGAGAAGGCGTCTTAATAATTTTCTTATGAATTCAATAAAAATCTAATTATGACAAGTCCATCATGCATAAAAGTGGATTTGATGTTAATCTCAAAAAATAATCATATTTAATGTCATATACATATTTGATGATATGTTGTCAATAGTTAAAATGAACAACATGAAAATTTTATTTACTATATCAGTTTTCTACATAGATCTTTGTAAAAAGAATTGAAAATTTAATCAGGAAATTTTCTATTTTTGTATTAGTTCTTCTTCTTTTTTTCAAAGATAAATCAATCTGTGTATCAAGAAAGAAAATTAAACTAGATATTGGCAGAATAAATTGTTGTTCTTTAACAGAAACGACAAACTTAATTCTGTAAAATTCTTCAATTGAAATGTACTAAAATATATTTGCCAAGGAAAGTTTAGTATAATATAAACGTGATAATCTTCTCTAAAGTCTCAATTGTATGATACTCATATAAATAAATAACAACTATATTCAAACGCTTCTATTCATAATTGTTTAATTAATTGATTAAAATAGAATATTAATAATTCTATACAACATACTTTACAATCATTAACAGTTGGACTCCATTTTGGAATATCTTCTTGACGTTCGAATAACATTTCAATAATATGAGAATGAGATCCTGTGACAATACTCTAATTATATTTAAAAGTAAAATTTGATGTTTTCTAATTTTATTTTCTTACAGTTAATCGAAAAATTTTGCCCCATTTCGGAAAATTTTTTGAAACAACAATATCAAGTCCATCACGACTTTTTGCTTCTTCTGACCATGCATTATCATCTTTAAATATTTTCCATATTTCATCAATTGTTTCATCTGCTTGCTTTTCATAATCTTCATTATTATCGTAATTATCAAAAATTACTGATGATTCTCCTGATATTGATTGTGTTACATTAGATTCTGAATGAACAGTACGAAGTTTTTCTTGTTTTTCTTCTTCTTTATTAGTACCTACAGTATAAATAACTAATAAATATTTTCTTTTTTCTGCAAAATTTTAAAATAAAAAAAATACTAAATTACTTACCTGGTACTAAACAATTCCTAAGAAAATTTGGAGTTGTTAGTGCCGACTTCATTTTAAGACGTCTTTAGTAAAAGATAACAGAATGGAGCACTTGAAAAAATATAATGTTGATACAGAGTACTATATCAAGAAGACCATCTGCTATTATGGTAATTAACTTCAACTTACGCTCATCATGTTCTCCTTTTTTTTCCTATTCTTCGTTTTTCTTTCTATTCTTTTCTTTTTTTTCTTTCGGACATAAGAAAAAATATAGGACGAGTATGGCGTGAGCCGTTCCATGACATAACATCAATTGAGGGGTATAGAAGAAATAGAACGACTGATGCTGTTCGTTTGTGATTCTTATGGAATGATGATTTAATAATGTAAGAATCAGAAATATGTATCTTTTTTATTCATATAAATTAAATGATGCATGTCTTTGAACTTGAATTACTATTAAAAAGAAAATAAAGATTAGATCATAATTAAATCTATAATTGATTTCTAGTTCTTCTTACATACTTTTCTTAAATCATGTTCATGTGAAATGATTTAATAATTAAAGAAAAATATATAAATCATTTATCTACTACAGTCGACATCAAAAGTCTTTCATCACTTTTTTATTTTTACGTCGTTTATTAAATTTGCACAACATTAATTTGATATGATTATATGTCTATATAACAGAGGTTATATTTAATACAAGCAATGCTTGAATATAAAATACAATGAATAAATAGAAACTTGAGTACTATCAAGAAAAAATGATATGAAAAAAGACAATTTAATATCATTATCTCAAATCTTAATAGTTTCATGACGCAGAGTAAGTCTTTTGCATCGTTCTTATACACAGAAAGAATTATCAAGATTTCAAAGAAGTACGTATAGTGCATTTAATTGTTACCCTATGAGTTTAATATTATATAATACGACCTTTCACAATGCATGAAAAACTGAAGAAATGTTTCGTAATAATGAACGTTAGAGAATAATAAAAGTAATAGTTATATCTATTCAAGCAGTAAAATGTTTCAACCCATTAAACAAGTGCATTACTTCATGAATAAAGAGAAGATTCAAGAAAACAGGCATTCATTACTTATTGAAAAATATTTAATCATAGTGATGAAAACTCAACCGTCTAATATAATGGAAGAAAATATTAAACACTATTCATGATCATTGTAGTAATGCCCATGGGTTATGATGTGTATAAAAATTTTCCGTTTCTATTAAATCATCATCAACACTTCTCATAAATTTATAGCGACAATGTCATGCTGTCTTTTTTTTTATGTTGTTTTCGCCGTTAGTACCCAAGTTTCTATTTATTCATTCGTAATTTTATATCCATGTAGTTCTCGTATTAAATTAATGCTAAGATATAGTTTTAATACACGACTTAAAAATAAAAAATGATACGAAACTTTTGACATCCGTTATAATGATGCATACATTAAACAAATTTGAAAAACTATATCTCAACACATATTGAAATAAATCGTGTGATTAATAGACTTTTTATCTGTTTTATTAATTTATTTCCAAATAAGAAAAAAAAAATGAAATCTATTAGAAAATTAACTATTCAAAATCTCATAGTGAATACATAAGTTATAGAGATTATGTATTTAGTGGAATACAACTGTGTTTTATTCAAATTTTCTCTTCTGAAGAAGCAAATATCTACTTTTAGGAGTCCAGACGCATAATACACATGATAAAATAACCCACAAATTCCGGAAAGACCAATCGGATCTTCGGGAAGGGGCGGAACGGAAGATAATAAACTAAAGACCAATAATTGAATGATTGTAATATAAAGTCTTTTTCTTTTCTGACGAAATTAATTCTTTCATATGCATAAACACTCATACTCGAAAAAAATTCAATGAAGACATTCTTAATACTGTGTATAATATTATAAAGAAAAATAAAAAATAATCTATTGAAAATTTTGAAATATAGATTGGAAATCATTTAATAGAAAATTATTTTGAGAAATTGTTCACCGTTGATTGTTTGTTTGATGTGTGTCTTGCAAAATTACGGATGTTATCTACATTAAAATACAGAACAGGCAATTCTTTCTGAAAAACTCGTTATTTTTATCTTTAATAATTTACAAGAACATCAAATAAAAAAATCTTATTCTAAATAACGAATAATAAAACAAATAGATAAACTTGATGATATATAAATTTGAATGTTGAAGGAATAACTTATCAAACCATATAATGTGTTTGACTGTACAAGAAAATCATATAATAAAAAAACAAAAAAAGCATATTCACCTATGTTTGATTAGAGAGACGGAAAAAGCTGACTACATTTTTAATCAAATGAGAATTGACCGAATTAATCATTCAAGCAGCATACTTCTTGAGAATATCTAAATTTAGAATAAATGCAAAATGTCATTTGATAACCAGTTATTTTCATTGGGAAAAAATAACTGTCATAATTTGTCATTCCTGCTACACATATATGAGTTTAGAACTATTGCGCACGAACACTTGCTTACAAAATTGTTTACTATATAATTGCGAATAAAGTAGCTTACGAGAAAAAATTCTCAAGTGATAAATCACTATTTGTAGCTGAGATATCGGAGTTTTAGTGAAGTTTTCCTGTAGGGTTCTAATTTTCAGGCAAAATTATACATTTAAATTTTGATCTGAAATCTTGTCCACAAAAATGCATTCATTCGAATACTCAATGAAAAAAATTTCTAAAGATCGGTATACTTCACCTTCAAATGTTTTCTCTTCAAGTCTGTTAAAACTACATATCTCTCTGCAATGTTTCAATAATTATATTCATTTACTTAATGGACGTTTAAATCAACTTCGCATACTTAATGTTAATATTAAATACATTTATTCTAGTCTTTCAACAATGAAAAAAAAAGGTAGATTATATTTATCTAATCAATTGAATTCATTATATCGTTTTTTGTAGGAAAAATTACCCTATTTAAGATGTTTTTCGTTATATTGCGATATGACTACTGATGTGTATGATGAATTTATTGTACCAGTTCTACATTGAAAGTCGAATTTAGAAAAATTCAGTTTATTTCTTGAGGTCGATTATTTTTACGAAAGACAATATAGTCATTTTCATATTTATACATATCTATATACATTGAAAATTTATGAATATGAATTTTGTCTTCGAATTTCTCAATCATTTCCATTTATGAAAACATTAAGTTTATATAATAAAAAACCACAAAGTTATAAATTATGCACAGAACTAAAGGGAGATAATGATAATTCATCCATCCTTAAATATCCTCATCTTGCTAATTTTACATTCTACAAAAAAATGAAATCCAATCAATTGTGAAATACTGATTTTGTTATGTCTAAATTTTAAACGTCGAATTTGTAAGCATGTAAAAGACTATTTTTCTCATACAAATTTTTCCTGATATTTAAATAAAATTGATTTACATGGAATAAAAAGCATTCAAATTTATACAATGCTTCTTTTAAAATTGATTGAAAAGAACCAAATATTTGTACATATATAAGAATTATCGCACATTATAGTATGCAATTGGTGGAAAAATAGTTTTAAAAAAAATATTATTTTGTACGAATAAAATATGTTGTCGAATAATATCTGTAAGTCAAGTTATTTATTATAGGATTGTTTGGAAAGTCTGTGTAACTCATATTGTATGAAACCGTACGATAGCAAATGCGGCATTTATTCAAACGTTTCTAATGGCATAAGCAGTTTACAGAATCGTTGACAACGTGTGGTTGCTAGCAGCACTTTTTTACTGTATAGTTTCATAGAATATGAGTTGCACGAACTCTCCGAACAACTCTATACTATAAAACATGAAATATGCTTTTAGAATCCATTGACAACTTCTATTTATATTCCGTAGCTTTATAAAAATATCGGTTTTTTTATCGAATAATGACCTTTGAAGTAAAATAGCTAATCAAGCATAAATAAACGAATAAGATTATCGGATCAGTCTCGAATTAATTAAAGAATACTGAATCAGTTTAGTACTATAGCACTTTTCAGTATTATATTTTCTATTGATTTTGTCTCTCTGATTATTTATTGTTAAACAGAAAATAATTTATCTATATTAGGATTCTTTTTATACAATTTATTTAATAATATTAAAAAGATAATCAAACGTCAAATTGTATTCTTATTCCATTTAAATTAAATCAAGATTATTAATTGTTTGCACGAAATCGATGTTCTTTTCGGCTGCATGTTGTAGTTGTCAATGATGAACAATTTTAAAATATTTTAATGCTGTATTATAAAGACCTTTTAGATATCATGCACTTCCAATTTTAAGCTCATATTAATGCTTTATCATTTAGCGTATTTGATGAAAGTAAAGGTTTACAATGGATACGATGGTGAGTCTGCCACCNGAGAAACTTGAGATTTTTAGTGTAAAACGTGCGCATGTTAAGTCATTAAAGAGTCCTTTGACTGCTGAGAACGTTTTATTTTTAAATGACATTGTTAAAAAATTTCAGAGTTTTTCGGAGTCGGAATCGGAGTCAAAAAATAAAAATTTTCGGAATCGGAGTTGGAATCGGAGTCATAAAAAGAAAGATTTCGGAATCGGAGTCGGAGTCGGAGTCGGGTTTCGGAATGAAAAAAGTTGACGCCGCAGGTCTCTACTGTCAAGAGCTCGGAATCAACTTAGATAATCTTACAGTGTCGTTTGTTTTTCAACAAAAAATTATTGATAAATAAAATATTCAAAAGTCAATATCTGAAAATAATCTTTACGATCTATCCGAGTTTTCTCTCAAATTAACACCTCTGATTGAAATAATGCTTTAATCAAACATTATTATTAGATTACAAGATGTTTTCATTTCCAAATGACATGCAAAAAAAAAACAAGAAAGTTTATTAAACATCAACATTATCGTACGAAAATATCATTTGTCTAATCTAGATTATTTATAACATTATTATGAAGACCTTAATTGGATAGAAAAATTTTTGTTAATAATCTGTAAATATTTATTTTTTCTTGAGGACAAAAAAGAAAAACAAATCAAAAACGATTATAAACATCTTTAAATAAAGATGCATTTAATATATGCTGACCAACATGAATAGGTACTTGTTCTTCTTCAGGATCACGTTCTGTATCTTGTTCATCATATTCATGTTCAGGATCGGATACATCAAGATTTGTATTTAGAATATGTTGTTTAGCAATAAGACTTAAACATTCAAATGTTCGTGGTTCATATATAGCAAGATCAGCAATAATAGCTGGTGATAATTGAATATTTTGTCGTTTAAGACTAGCTGTTAATGTATGTTGACGTAAACCATGTTCACGTGCAGCTGCATCAATTCTTGTATCTTGTAATTCAGCTTCAAATATTGGTTTAAATTGACGACTACGTGATGCAAGACGCCAACGATTTCTCATATATGGATAAGCTACTTTAAAACATTGTCGACGACGACCATCACTTGCAAATGTAAATCGAAATGTTTCTAAACGCCACCATTTATTATCTGTTCGTTTACCTGGAATAGTTCGTTTTAATAACCATTCAGGTGTTGGTAATTTACGAAGTAAAGATGTAAGAAATACCATATTATCAATATAGAAACTTAAAGAATGAACATGAATCTATTTTTTTTTAAGAAATGAAAGAAAATATTGATTTGTTAAACGCATATAACCAATTGATAGTAGATGAAAATTCGAAAGATGACGCTCAGTTATAATCTTATTTTTCTTAATGTATGAATTTTATGATGGCAAGTCACCTCAATTTGTCTTTTTTTTGTAAATAATCATTCTTGAAAAATCTATAACCACCTTTACGTTGAAAAGAGACTTGATGCACTACTAGAAGCTTTATCAGAGGATCTCCACCTCCTTTTCATAATATTTTCTTGATTATACCAGTAAAATAAGATATATATATTTTCAAATTGATTATTCATATTTATAAGTCAAGACCTGTGCTTATTACTTTCGACAAGAACATTTAACATTGTAGTGAAAGTCGAAACAGTGACCTGATCTTTTATTTTCTCTAGGATATTTAATTATTAATTTAATTTATTCTTCTATTCATGTTCAAAATTTTTTTTTTTTGATATGCTCAGATCATTAGAGAAAATTGGTAGTACTGTCGATTATACAATGAATGCATTTCTTCGAAACGAACATATGATCGTAATTGTGAAGTCAATAATAAATCCGGTTTTTGATATTATCAACAGCTTTTGAGAGTCTTTTTTATTTTGAATTTTCAAACTCAAATAATGATTTTCATATCAAATAAAAGGACACCAACTCATCCTTCAAGAGCAGATCAAACACTTTTTTTATTTATGTATGTTTATGTTTATCTTACGAAATACACCACTATTATATATTCGATAAAGTGATTTTCATTTTAAATTGGCTTGTCTGTTTATTGAAAAACAAAGATTGACAACAAAAAAAATTCATATTAATATACGCTAGCATAGATATCGACATCATTGCGAGATTAAATTTATTCATGGACGAAGAACTAACTAGTCAACAACAACAAAAAAAAAACCAAAGTTACAATTATACATTCATTGGAAAAGTATCTGGTATATGTTCTTTCTCTGCTTCTTCCCATTCTGGATGCATTTCTAATGGTCTTAATGCACGTGTAACTTCAACATGAATAACACAATCAAATTGTGTTGAAAGACTTGCATCAAAATAATGTGATGCTCGTTCAGTATGTGGACGATAAATAACACCAATAGCTCGTTCTAAACGTTTTTTATGTAATTCATTATGTAATTCTTTTGAAAGAGTAATAGATGGATTATTAGAACGAAATAAAAGAAAATATTGACCATCATTAGTCATTGTTGAATGTTTAATCAATGCTTCGTGTAATAAAAATTCTACACTTTCATTTAATGATGGTCGAACATGTTTAAAATGTGGATCCATATCCCAACCATCAGCTGCTGTAACTGTACCAGTATATGTTGTAAATCCAATATTAAACGTATTTCCTATACCAAATCGTTCACGAACTAATTGACCAATATTAACTTCTCGTGCACGTCGTGAATCAGTCTCACGAGCATCACCAATATGTGAATTATGAGCCTAAAAAAACAAAAATAAAATACTTATTCGTATTTTAACTTTTCATTAGTGTTTGACATGAGTCAATTTTGTTGTGACTCAACCCATCAATACTTATTAATCTGTCTGGAAGTTTTTTTCTTAAACAATTCTTTATTCAGTTCTCAACAAACGTATAAAAAACTAACAGTTAAATATTCGGTACTAAAGACTGTATAAGGTCGTCGCGATGAATTTCATAACAACATCTTAATTTCGATTAGCAAGTGTTGTATCTAACCATGCGCGTTCCATTTTCCCAATATTTTCAATTGTACACTTTCTTATCATTATTTGTTATGATTCTTTCAAAAAGCATAGTAATACACGTGCGCCGAAGTTTCTTACAGAACAATACCAAACTGATCAGATTCGTAGTTTGTTTGTATCTTCAATACGAAATGTTTGATCCTTCATTTTTATACTGAAATATTTTACAAACGTTTGTAGAAAACTGAGCGAGAAATTTTCTGGCAAAACTACTCAAGTCGCTATAATGAACATCGACGGGGACATTGATAGAATACTGAGAAGCCATAGGCGACGAAGTCACAAGGTTTCAGTGGTCTCAAATATTTGTTTTTTCCTTCTATTAGACGAATAGATTTATAAAGTACCACGAAATTCTTGAACAAATGTTAAAATTTATTGCGGTCAAATAGGAACATTTTCGTAGTGAAGTAGATTTGAAAAATGTTCTTAAAAAGATGTTGAAATTTTTATCCGTATATCTCAATGGGAAAGCGACGCGCTCCGGTACTTACGAAGTACAGAGAGTACAATGAAAGTACAAAACTACAATGAGAGTAAAGGACAAGCACGTGGAGTATAGTAAGAGAACCGTGGGAGTAAGCAAAGTACAACACCATGTCGTTATCTTGTGGTATTTAGGTCTAAAGTATTTTTAGTTATAAAACTACATTTCCATTGTACTCCGGAACACTGTACTCTACTGATTCTAAAGTAAATCGTTTCTCTCATGTTAGATCTTGAATTCTACAATGTCAATAACTCGATTTAATATCCATTTGTTACAAATGAAGAATTGCAAGAATCGAAAACTTTTACAAATTTTCTCTCAATCATACCAACTGTAACAGTGCAAAATGTGATATGCAAAAAAAAGATGCACTAACCATGTTTTATGTACATGGCATAAAATAATTCGTCCTCTTCTCTTCATTCTTAACTTTCTGGTAATGATCTTATAAATATTGTTAAGTCTATCCGATATTCAAAATGTTTTCTACACTTATGTTATAAAGCCAATTTATCCTGAGACATTCGTTAAAAATCAAATTACCCAAATAATAGCTTTAGTATCAGGTCCATTATGTTGAAGTAAATCTTGTAAACAATCACACATATGTGTATCACGAATATTCCATGTTATTTGACCACCTTCAAACATATGTCGATAATATTTTTCAGCTTCACGAACAATTTTAGCATTTTCCATTGCATAAAAACTTTCATCACTAGTAGTATCATTTAGTTTTTCTTCGGACATAATTTTTGCATGATGTTCTAACATTTTTTTTAATACATTAACAGCTTCTTTTTCACAACCACATGAAAGTTTTGTTCCAGCACAATAACCATATTCTTGTTCATCAGAATATCTTTCAAAACATCCATAATTTTTACGAGCTTCTGCTACGAGACCTAGTTTGAAAAAATTTGAAAATGAAACAAAAAAATGAAATTTATTAATTTAAGTAAAAAATAAACCTGGTTCATTTTTTTCTAAATATTTAAGAACTTCTTCACGTGATGCTTGTAAACTATATAAATCAATACCAAAAAATCCAGTTTTCTTCTTTTGTTGTCCTAAATTTTCATTATATTTCCGAAGCCATGTAATAAAATCTACAACAACTGTATTTCGCCTAAATATAAATGATGAAATTTTTTTTTTTTTTTGAATGAAATCAAACAAAAAAAATAAATAAAAAAAATACACACCACATCCATGATGGAAATCTTGTAAATTCTTTTAATGCATCATTTGCACTTCTAATATGTGTTTCAGAAGAAAGTCCTTTTACCCAACGATTAACTCGATAAGCTGGTGGCCAATCAGCTTCACAAGCAACAATAGTAAAACCCTAATAAATAAATTCCAAAAAAAAGTGAATTTTTTCAACAAATATTTCAAATACTTTTTCTTGTATTAATCGTTTTGTTATTTCTGCTCGATGTAAATAAAACTCATGTGAACCTAAATATTAATATATTAATCTTTTTTCTTAATATCATATTTTTTCACAAACAATGATACCATGTGAAGCTTCACCGATCATAACAATTCGAGCATTACCAATTGCAGTCAATATTGGATCATAATCAGTTGGTGTATTGAACCGTAATCGATTCGCATTTTGTTGTATAATTTCTAAAGCCTTACTATTTGATTTAGACACTGCTGCCATAATTAGTTTTCTTTTCATACGTAAATGACGAACACAATCTTACTGACAATGACCTGGCGCTAGTTACTATTTCATATAATCATTCATAGACATTAGCGCTTGATTTTTATTGGATTTCCCAATGTTCTCTTTTTTACAAGCAACGAACGAACAATATCATTGGTATTGTTTATTTATACTTATTTATTTTCCTTCTTCAGCCTTTATTCACGCTTCATTTCATCTTACAATCACACCGCTTAATTTGATTTATTTATTAGGTTTTCTATTTGTTTTTTAGTTTTTTTTAATGAATTTATTTCATCATCAAATACGAAATTTGATAGGTTCTTCCTTTTTTTTAAAAATGATTTATTGACTCACTTCATTAACTAATATTTCAAGGTCATATTGATATCACTATTAAGTCAACTCCATTAATGCAATGAATGAAACAGACGGAACGATAGCACTGATGATCATTTACCCATATATAAACATATGTTTATATGATTGCACTCTATGTCTATTCAACAGCTTCATTCCCCGCTGGTATTGTCTAACTAAGAATCGAGAATAGCTCTATTTGTATATAAAATAAATAGTGAAGGTCAAAAAGGTTCTTTTTCTTGTTGATGTTCGATGACCTGAATCTTACACTGAACATCGTTCAGTTTAAGTTCTATTCATTCATCTTTTTTTTTTGTATGATGCGTGCCCGATAGTGTTATACGTATTATACATTCGTTTATTTCTATACAAAATTATAACATACATAAATAGAATGATGGTTATGTATTTAACACATATGGAGACAATCATATAGTAATGTAATTATTGTTGTACACTACATATGTCTGATTAATTCTATATTACTCATTAGATTTGTCTAACGCACAAAAAAACATTAACAAAAAGAAATACCAATTACATTTTTTTGTTTGTATATCGAATTAGTTCAAGTGTTCTTTCTTTCTCTCCCTCTCTCTCTCTCTCTCTTATTCTTTATTTCTCCATTTTAGATGCGCCGTCGTCGACGTACTTCTTTAGTGTTCTTCATTTGTCGCATCCACTTAACCACCTACGTATAATTGTTCACCAGTGTTTTATTCCGGTGGTGTGTGTGTGTGTGCATTTGCCATCAATTCCTTTCTTTCAATTTACAACTTGATTTTATGTCCCATGCGACGACGCCTACCCAAGGCCCGTCAACAGTCGATTGTGAAGTCTTGACGGGTAAGTTTATTTGTTTGTAATTAACACCATTTCAACGAAAAACGATCACAAATTGATTGAGTAATATTGTACAGTTAATCTTTCTCAGAAGTAAACTACTCTTTCTCTCGTTTTACAACATTTTGCGTAATACTATGATATATGTCTTGTCAATATCCATTACATATAACAGGATACAAGGATATTATACCTGTTGTATAATGTTCATCGAAAAATGTTCTACAATGTAATCTCAATTGCTTGTTCAGAGTCTTTTCTTTTTTTCCTATTGATAATTATAGTCTCAAGAAATCATCGAAACTTTTACTATAAGGTTAAGATGACGTCAATGAAACACTTGACTTCCTGGATGTATATATATTTAGAGTTTTTTCTTCCTGATATAGATATATGAGTGAACATTCTTCTTTGAGATTTTGGTTTTTTCTATTGATCTCGAATAAATTCATTTCTATTTAGACATTCATACACAATCAAATTTGGCCGAAGTTGAAGTAGTTAGTCTAGTACAAGAATTAATCCCACGTTATCGTTTACGTGTTGATACTGATTTTGCTTGTTCAAACGAAGATTTTATCCAAACACCACGTATTGACGGTTCAGAATTTGAAGGTTTAACTAATACACAAATTCGTGGTCTACTTGATTATTACGGTAAAACTTTTTCTGTTTTGCTCATGCTTGATTTGGTTTATACTTGCGCAGAAGAATGATTGCGTTTTTTTTTTTTTTTGATAAGCATATGTATATCACGTCTGTTTACTAATCGTTATTTTTTTTTTGTCGCCATTGATGACGAAAGAATGATAAATATTTTTTTTCTTCATGTATCATAGAGGAGCTGAGAAAAATCACAGCTAGAAACTTGAATAGGATTTTTAAAAGAAGCGCTAATTAGACAGTTGTAATCGATCTCACATTAGATGAGTAATTTGATCAAAAAATGATGATATACTATTCCCTGTTGCTTGTTGTTTTGGTATTTTTTTTTTGTTCCGTTCCTATTCATGTTTGTTAGTTCATCATTATAATATTAAAAATACAAGTGAATAGTTTGTAGTTGGATTTTTTTTTCTTTTTGCTGATGACCTAATTTTTTGTACTAAAAAAAAGAGATGTGCTAGAACAAAATATATTATTCAGAGAAAAACAGAAGGTAGATGTGATAGGAGCCATAGTTACGAAAAAAAAATGAGTGGAAAAAAAAAAGAAAGTATAAATAGAAAAAAAGTAAAGAGATAATGTGAAGCGTAAATCATCGATAGTTATATTGTCGGAAATCTTCTTTCATGATATTTTTATTTTCCGTGTTGTGTATAATGAATTCTATATGTGGTATATTATATATTGAATAAATTAGCTAGTGGAATGAGTGAGTATAATGATGTTAATGGTATGATGAGCGTGACCTTATATGCAGTTTAATCATTATAGGAAATGTTTTACAAGCGTTTTGAGGCAATGAGATTATGTCTTATGAATTTTCGTCTTATAGATGAAATAGTTTTTCATATGAGTATTATTTGTGTTAGAAGCATACCATAGATTAGTTATGAATAGAAAGTCTTTTATCATCTTTTTCACATTACTACATCATTGTTCTTGGCGTACTTATGAGTTAATTAAAGACAAGGTTTTACGTTCAATGAAAGTTTCGAAAAAGATAAATGATTCTGGCAGATAATGAAATATATCTATTACCACATTGGATTCGTATATTTCAACATTGAGAAATATTTCTAGATATGTTGTTAGAGGCGGTAGATAGTAAGAAAAAAAAATAAGCTGTAAGAAGATTTCACATGGAGAAGAATCAAGTTTAATTTTCCACATGACTACGTTTAAAACATTTTGATTGGTATGTTTTTGTGTCATATAATCGGAAAAGACATCTTGAAGTGTAAGAGTTAAAAGTTAGAGTTTCAACTGTATGTGACAGACGTTGTTGATAAATGATCAAAGATCGTGTATCAATAACGTCTCGTTCTATTATATGAATTACTTCCTTATTGCATTTCTCCATAATTAACTAGAAGGATAGAGTGAAGAAATGTATCCCAAAATAGATAGAATAAAACAATCTCTCTGCGATTAGTAACAGCAACTACATCGTATTTCATATTTTTATCCCGCGGGGATTGTGTTGACGGCTTTTTTTCTTCTTCTCTTTGTAACACATGTTGAGAGGAAGTTGTTTTTTAGTCTTGATTCCAACCCGATGAATTAAATTATTGTTCGAGTGTCTCGAGGCTAGAGAAAAATATTTTTTTGGAATTTATTGGGATTAAATGTAAAAAATAATGTTCGATACTTATTTCTCTCAATATGTTCGATCAATGAATATCAGTAGTTTTTTTTTTTTGTTTGGTCTTAGTAATCTTTTCTAAAGGATATGGCCGGATTATAGTATAAATCTATCGCCTCCTTTGGTTTCAATTTCAATACGTTAGAAAGATAAGGCATTTAATTCTGCGCAAAAAAAAAGAACAATTTTCGAGTAGTAAATCGTCTTAGATAGGCCATGATTTATGGATAATAACTATCGTACTTATAGTTTTTTGTTTTGTAAATTCGCTATGAAAATTAATAATGTAGGTTGTTATGTCCTATTTATCGATTAGATTATATAGAGACGATATCGCGTACCCGTTTGATTCGGTATAATCTAATCGATAAATGTGATCATTATGTCCTTTTTAAGAACATGAAAAGCTACCTGAGTCTCTATAGTATTAATATTCATATTGAATTCATAAAAAGAAGAAAATATACTTACCTTGGTTATTAGTTAAAAGTAATAGATCTTCTATGATGATTTAGTGTTGGAAAAATTTTATTTTCTCTATCCGGAATGTCAAGATTTTCATGTTCTACTTTTCGAACCTATGTGAAATTGAAACCTTAGTAAAGAGTAGATTTACGTTCTAATCTTGTCGTATTGTTTGTTTTTGAATTTTTCGTATACATAGCAACATTAGGACTAGAATTAATCATCGTAGATTTCCTTTTTTTGATCATGGTCCTGTCAATGTTTTGCTTTTTTATTCTTTCTTTTCGCTTCTAGTCATTGGTTTTTTTTGTTTACAAAGCTTAATTATGGTAATTTTATATTTTGTGTCTTTTTTGCACGTTTAGTTTATTATTATTTTTTGTTTTTATTTAATATAGTTCATGTTTTTTTTTAAATGTTTTTCTTGTTTAATTTTTAGCATCATCAAGTGAACGAATAAGTCAAATGACAAAAACATATCATGATATAAGTGCTGTTACTCGCATGTTAGAAGATCGCGAGAATGATTTACAAATGGCAGTTACTTTAGGTCAAAATTTACTTGAAAGTAATAAATCTTTACGTAGTCAAGTAACATTACTTGAACAAGATATTGAACAAACAACTGAAATTGTTAAACAACTTAAACATGATCTAGTTCTTAAAGAACGTCTTATTCGATTTTATAGTGATCTTGAAGAAAATGATTTACAATCAGCAGCAGCAAAGTAAACAAAACAATAATAAGAGTCTTTTATTGTTTTTTTTTTGATCATGTGTTTAGTAATTTTGATGTTCAACATTATGAACATAAAATTCGAAATCTTGAAGATGAAAATCATGAATTACGTACTGAAGTATGTTTGAAATTATATATTCATTTTTAAATTGACAAAAAAAAAATTCTTTTATCTAGACTGTACAATTAAAACTTGATTGTGAAAATTATGAGCATCAAGAACAATCTATAGTTGATAATTTTGTTAATGCTTTAGGTAAAAGAATAAATATAGAATAAAAAAGAAAAAAAAAATTCTTGTTGTTTTTTATTCTGAAGCTCATGCAAATGCTGATATTGATAATTTACAACAAGAATTAATAAAGAAAAATGATGAAAATTCTAAACAACAAGATGAAATTCTTCATTTATCATATGAAGTAAATAAAAAAAATCCATCTAGTTTTTTTTTTTTCGTTTCTAAAGTTAATTGATCTATTTGATATAGATGCGTGAAATTCATCGTCGATTATGTGAATTAAAAAAAGAAAATGAAGAATTAAAAAATCTTCTATTAATCAGTGGAAAAAATCGACAAGAATACGAAACAAAAGTAGATAAAAATTAATAATATTTTTTTTTGTTAATGTTTTAATTTTCATTTAATTAGATTCAACAATTAGAAAAAAATTATAGTGAATGTCTAGATAAACTTCATAAAAGTCAATTTGAAGTTAATAATTTACAACAAAAATTACTTAATATATCACCATCATCATCTATATCAGATTTATCATCACATCATAATACAGTATTTTTATCTCCTATTGAATATGCAAATTTTATGGGTTTGGAACATTCACTTAAATCTGAACTTGAAGAAATTCTTGAAGATCCAAATCAACTTTGTCCTCCAACTATAAATACGAATGAAAAAATTAAAAAAATTAAAAAAAGTTTTCGTAGAAAAATAATACGAGAACAAAGTGATACCGATGGAGAATCAACTATCAATGATTCAGCATTTAGTGATACAGAAAGTTTGAGCAGGTATGTTATGAATATATTTTATCCATCAATGTAGTTTTCAAAGAAAATTTGCTACTTTGTTTTTTTTTTTATGTTCAATATTTTTGTTGTGTGCAAGTGTACCAAAGAATTAATCGCTTTTCAATCACAACTTTGTGAATCCTAATGAGTCATGAGCCTCCACAGAAACACAAGGAACATTCATTTTCGACTTGAAACTTCCTACAGAAACTAACCTCACTGAAGAGGCGATGGGACGCGCGGCGTCTGTGAAAATGTTAAATGATTACTAGAAAATTGTCTGCCATGTTTTTGAACGGAGCTTTTTGTCAGACAGAATCTGTGAAGTTTTTAAATTCTTCTACTCGGCATTAAATAAAAACAAATACTGTGCAAATATAGTATCTCGACATCAATTAGCTAAAGACATGAAATCTATTCACGATTTTCATAGCTGTTTAAGTCTATATGACGAACATAGCCTCGACTTCAAAATGATTTCGTATTCTCATTTTGATCATGCCAGATTAAAATAGTTTTTTTTTTTAATGAACTGGACAACACAATGATAGATCAATAAGTAGCGATGTTTGAGACCAAGGTTTTTTGGTCTCAATCAAATATAATCTATACATTCTGTATTGTATATGCTGTCCCTAGCTTCTAATCGATCTCATCATTGATTATTTCTTTAAGTTCTTTACTTCATTAAAAATATTATTCTAATATCGTGTGAAAAAAAAATTGAATGTAAATTTTAACTAGGCAGATAACAGAACAAATCTACAATATTTATAATTTTCTATGGCATTGTAGGTAGGCTTCGATTGATCATGGATGAAAAAAATTGACATAGCCTATTAAATTTCTTTCAAAGAGAAAAGAAAAAGAAATCGAATTGAAATACTTCAAACTTATTATTTGTTTTCATCCGTAATTCTTTTTGTGAGCATCAACAATGAAAAAAAATAAATTAAATAATTAATCATCACTAAATTAGTTCATATAGAATAACTACACACATATATATAATCAGTATTTTTTACATTAAAATTAGTTCATTAATATTAATTGACTTTATTATAACAAGATAGTAAAAATGTTTTTCTTTTTGAGTAAAGAAAAAAACAAAGTAGATAAATTTTGTTTGATATTTAAGCAATGCTTTAATTGATTTCACCTGCTTAGTAATTCGTCTTGTCCGTATTGTCATCGATGTTCACCTATACCTACCGCTGATTCTAAGTATGCATGTGAAATTTTTATTTTATTTATTAATAATAACTTTTAATCAATAGATCATCATCTACTTATCAAATTGAACAGCGAATACCATCTGGAGTTTCATCCAGATTAAGACTTGTTAAACGATTTGAGGGTAAAATTAAACAAGAAAATTTTTAATTCGAGAAAAAAACTAAAATATTTCATTTAATTAGGATCAAATATGTTAAAACGTTGGCAACAATTAGCTGAGCCAAGTCTTTCATCATGTCTTCAAACAATGCCCGGTGTTTATACACGTGCTCAGATAATATATGAAGTTAAAGAAGATGATGAAGAACAAGAAGAATCTTCGTTAATACAAGAAAATAATTTCGAATTTCCACTAAATTCATCTGAGTAAATTTTAATTATTTATTTAAATTCGTTTTAAAAAAATCAAAGTTTTGTTTTTTAGAACAACAACAAATCGATTAAATCTTGTTGAATTAATAACTAAACAAGGATTAATGTCACGAACAGTTGATTCATATGCACCCGATCCTGATTTAAATGAAAATCCACCATTATCACCAACACATGGTGTTCAAATGGAAACGAATGCACTTTTACATCAAGTTATGCAACGTTTAGTTGGAATGTCATTACGTACATTTGAAAATTTAACAACATCACTTACATCATCAAATCATTATAATATTGATGAAGATGATGAAATAAAAAATATAGAATTTGAACAACGATTACCAACGAAAAATTTAATACAACCACCAACATCACCAACATTTGATGGTCTTACAGCGCCAACACCAAATACAGCTATGCGTGCAATAAAATCAAGTACATTTTTACATGTTTCATCATTAAATCCATTAACAAAAGCATTTGCTACTCGTTCGCCTGGCGATGTACCATCGATAGTTAGTGATTTTCTTCGAAGTAATCCTTCCACGAACGTAAAATGAGAAGAAAATATTCAACTTGTGTTATTTCTTCTCGTGTAAATCGATTAAAGTTTCATTAGTTCTTTTCTTCTCTTTATGTGTGTATTTTATTTTTTTGATGAAACTGTAAATTTGAATCGACATATGATCTGACTATTGCCTTTTTGTTTGTTTGTTTGTTTGATAGTTAGACCATATTTATGTATTTTGTATTGTGGATTTTCTCAACCTATCTTTCATTCAAAGTCACGGTTTCTTTTCTCCTTTCTTTTGATTTCGAAGTTTTTTTTTTTACAAAAAAACAATTTCGTCTATGTACGCTTTGTGTATGCGTGCCGTTATCTTTCTTTCTTTTGATAAATAGACACAAAACGTGAGATTACACCAAAAATAAAAAAAAATAAAAAAGAAATTGTCTACTTTGATTTAGATGTCGAAAAATACAAAACAACAGAGAAAATTGGAGGATATGATTGGAAGTAGTTCGACAAAGAAACGAAAAAAAACTAACGATGATACTTCGATCGTCGATAAACAGGATGTTGTAGATACTTCAAGTAAGTTATTGTGAAGATAAGAAGAGTAGCAAGAATGATAGAAATATACTTGATGTTCTTGCAGAAGTTAATTCAACTGTAAAAAAAATCTCTGAGAAAGACTTAGAAATACTTAAACAATTCGATCTTAATATGATATTTGGACCTTGTACTGGTGAGTTACTGTTTTTGGAATATTTGTTCAATTAAGATTATGTCATATTTCTTTGACAGGTATTCCACGTATTGATCGTTATGAACGAGCTTTACGTCATGATTTAGATCCTCCTACTCGCGTTTTAGAATTGATCAATCTCTATTCGAACGATCGTCAAGTTACTCATTGGTAATAATACATTTTCTTATACATATTAATTTCTTCTTATATTGTTTTCTTTTTTTAGTATTTGGCGTGATTATACATTATGAAGGAATATTTCGACATTTGTCTGTTTAAGGACAAAAACTATTTAAAAATTTTTATTTTGTTCATTGTTGTAAAATTTAAATATTTTTTTTAAAAATGGTTTTAAAGTTTTTTATTCAATAATTCTGAATAAAATGAATATTTTAGATTATATTATTAATGCGTTCGTTTTCATGGTTTCGTCTTCTTTTTCTTTCACGTCATAGAAATCAGGTATACAACAGATATTATATAAATCAATGTTTTACCTAGATTTTCTATTTCTGGATGAGTGAACATCTATTTTTGGACGCATAACGGAAAGGTCAATCCGATCTTCGGAAGGGCATTTCGCCCCGCGATAAAAATACTGATACAAATGGCTTTATTTTCCAATTAATGAAGATATCATTTTGATTTTGTTTTTCTAGCTATGGCGTTTTATACCATTGTTCTATAAACCTACTACGTTTCTTACTGGAATTCAACGTCGTATTCATCTTCCAACGTTAACATCTTTACCATTATGGTTAATTGTTCGTGCAGCAACACAAGTTGAAGATGCTAATGAATCAAATCGACCAAAGAGTTTGTTTTTGATTTATATTTATATTTAAAAAACATATATATATATATGTTTTTTCTTTTTTTTTTTGGATTAGATCTTGGAAGTATTGTTGAACAACTGGATACTATGTTTGATAAAGAAGAATATCAAAAAGCATATGAATATATAGAAAAAAATAAAACAAATGAATTATTTCAAAGTCATTATATTCGATGGCGTATAGCTCGGTATATATATATATATAATCAAAATCAAACTTTGTTATTTTTTTTTTAAATTTAATTTAGAATTTTTTATAAACTTTCATTAACAACAAAAGATAAACAATTAAAAAGAAAATTAGTTGAAGATGGTTTTGAACAAGTTAAATTAGCTCTTAGTCCTGGAAATCATATTTATTCTGTTCATAAATGGTATGGTATTTTACTTAATGAAAAAAGTCAATATACAAGTACAGATGAACAAATTCGTAATGCATATGAAGTACTTGATCATTTTGAAGAAGCTGTTCGATTAAATCCACAAGATCCAACTTCATATTATCTTTTAGGTTCATGGTGAGTTACAACTCTTTTGTTTATCTTATTCATCTTTCTATTTTGAAAAAAAAAAAAAGGTATTGGGAAATTGCACAATTATCTGGTTGGAAACGACGTATAGCAAAATTAATTTATGGTGAATTACCAAGAGGAACAGTTCATGATGCTTTAAAAAAATTTCTTTTAGCTGAAGAAATTTCACCAAATTTTTATAGTAAAAATTTATTAATGATTGTTAAATGTTATGTTGAACTTAATTCACGTCCAGCTGCAATGGAATTTGCAAAATTATTATTAAATCGTGAAAGAAAAACTCAAGAAGATGAAGAAGTTCATCAAGAATTACTTAAAATTATTCCACATATTGAACGTCTTTTACCATTTCCACAACAAGGAAGTTTTAGTAAACATATTTGAAAAGAAAACAAAACAACATTGACAAAATGTTGTTGCTATGAAACATCCTCGGTTTTCTTTTTCTTCTTACAACTAACGACATCTTAACAAATATTCTATTGATTATTGTAATTCTTCTCGTTTTTTTTTGCTATTGATCATCGTGAAAGCAACGAACGGTTGCTAACTAACTAGATCTGAATTGTTTTTAGATGTTATCTAGTTTTTATTTACAGCAAACAAGTCGTCGTTTGATTATTATTTCAACTCGAGCGACTTTATCTATTTCACCTTATCCAAAACCTAGTGAAATACAAACAACATCTGATGGAGTTTCGATTAATTATTTAACACAAAAAAATTCATTAAATAAACTTAAAGATGATAATATAAAACATATTCCTCTTAATGATCTTTTAGAAGTTAAAAATTTGAATAAAACATCTCTTGTTTCAAATAACGAAAAGCCAAATATTGGTAATCTTCAACAAGATACGAAAGTATCAAGTACACTTGTTTTACCTGGTGTACCAGTTAATCCAAATGTAAAATCATTAGCAAATGAACAACAACATACAATAAAAGACGAACAACATGAACGACTACCATCATCACGTTTTTCTGCTTTTCTTCGAAGTATTCGATCGGGTTTACCTTTTTTTTCATCAAAGAAAAATAAAGGATCGTCAGTGGAAATTGCTACAACACGTGAACATTTTATTCCGGTAGGAAATTTTTTTGTTTCTTTTCTTTTTTAGAGAATAAACGAATTGTTTTCGAAGATACATTTGATTAAAATTATGAAATTATTTTCGAAAGAAGTAGAATCTTTAATTAACTTTCAACTTATTAAAGATATTAGACCTAAGAGAACAAGCATTTAATTGTATAACGGATAACTTTATGGAATGAAAATGGCTTCTATTAATTAAGGATTAGTTTTTTTGTATGACTTTTTTGTGTGTTAAGTAAATCGATTTCTTCGACTGTGCGAGTAGAAAAAAAAAAGAGGATCTAACTTTTCTTTTGTTTTGATAGTAGTATATATGGTTATTAACAAGGAAACATATCCAATTGTCGAACGCCATTCGACTTGATCTTATAACTACGTGTAGGTCTCGATAAGACTAAGAGATCTTCAAAGCAAAGAGTTTTAGCCTAAAATTTTCTTCACTAGTAGATTTGATAGTCATAAAAGTTTTAAACGAAAACGAACATATGTTTCTCGAAATATTCAATTTCCAATTTGATTCGATTACTGTGTCCTTTTTTGTTAAATCGCTGTTTTTTTTTCTATTGAAGCTTTTAGGAGTGTTTAGTGGCTGCAGAAAAAATGTCACGTTAACACTTTGTTTTGAGTTTTTCGGCAATGTCCTGCTCTCAATAAAAATAATACTTAATCATAATTTCTGATCAGTAGGTCATGGATCTGATTCCTTTTAAGTTTGTCGTAGTCTCGCCGCGATCTTAAAGCTTTTCATAAGAGTTTATAACCTCCTACTGTCAATATCAGAATTGCCAGATCTTTCGAAATAGCAGGAACAATTCCGATTTGTTATACTTTGATAAATACTAGCTTTTATCAGTGTGATTATAATTTTTAAATTAATTCTTTCTAGCACTTAATACATATTTATTATACTACTGTAATCATTACATTAGTACAGAACATTGAGACTACTAACAATATACACGCGCTTGAGTATAAAGCCTTTCTCTGAATTAAACTCAACAGATTAGAGATTTTCATTGCTAAAATTCCGATTTGAAAACTCTGATCAATATTAGATAAACACCGAACTCGAACTTCAATTCACAATTTGAGCTTGGATATTTTCGAATATCGTTTAGTTACTTTTAAGAAAATCTACTGTCTTTCTGTTTGATGTACTTCTGTTTCCTAGTTTCATTAACTAAACTTAACTACATTCAAGATTCAACTCAGCACATGCGTTGTTTTTTATTTTCAGTTAACACGTCCGTCATTAATACGTTTAATAGCCACTGACAATCAGTTAGTTGATAGTGATGATGATCGTCTTGTATTTCATCAATTATGTGAAGGTTTTGATAGTGCTGTTGTACAACGTTATCATCCAATATTAAATGAATTAAAAAATTTATTTAATCCATTAAATCCTGATAATGAAACAATTGATCATCATCAAATATCGTATCGTGATCGTTTAGATAATGAATATTGGTTATTACAAAAAATCGATGATTTACTTCATCGTTCAAATTTTACAGAATTACCACGAAATATTCTTTTAGAAAAATTTATTATACAAGAAAATGTATCATTATCAAATGTTAATATTAAAATAAATGGTTATGATTATGATGTATTAAAATTTTGGATACTTGGTCGTGAACAAATACCAATTGAACAATTATCACGATGGAAAAGATTATTTCGAAAATCAAATTCATTAATATCAAATGATTATTTTAAACGTATTATTTTAGCTGTACGTCTTAAAGGACAAGATCGTTTATATCTGAAAGCTTTTCGTGATATACCATTACAAAATCTTCCACAATTATTACCTATTGGTAAATTACAAATAGGTCATTTTGAACAACGACTTATTTGGTTTACATTTTTTATTGCTACAAGTACAGCTGTTACACATTTAATAACAACAATGGCTGATTTTCATATACCAGGTTTAGTTATTGGTGGAAGTAGTTTAACATTATTACTTACACTTTGGTCAATAAGAAGTTCCTATAAATCAAAAATAAATTATTTATCAAATATGAATCGATTATTATTTTATAAAAATATTGCATCAAATAAACAATTATTAGCAATGATTATTGATCGAGCAGAAGATGAATTAAGTAAAGAAATGTATGTTTATATTTATTATTATATATTTTTCATAATGATTTATACTAGATAATCGATTGTTTAAGAAAACATTGAAATCTATTAATCTTAATAGTCAAGATGTCATCCTAAATGCTTAACTCAATGAGAAAAAAGTTTCTAAAAAGTCGAAAATGATCGAAAGAAGTTGTATAAGTTCGTTTTTTTTTGACAGAACAAATAATTCTGAAGAATATGAAGTGTCGCCGCATTTTTTTATGATCTTCCTTTACAAAGCTATAAGCATCATACAGTACAGAAAAAAAAGGGTACACCCTGCATTTTTGTTTGTTTTTTATGATGCTTGGAACTTTGTAAGGGAAGGTCGTAAAAAATGTGGGGATCCATCGTATTCTTAAGAATTTCGTACTCTTTTAGATGACACTGCTAAAAGTAAGTTTTCTTCGGGGATATGAAAAAAAACAACACATTATTCTTCTTATTTTGAGTGGTATTGTAGTTTAATATGTCGAAGAAGTTAAGACAATTAAAACTTTATAGTTGAATAATTCGTGATATTGTTCTGAATTCTACTATACTGAGAGCTGTTGCATATGATGGTTGTGACAAATGTTAAATATGCATTTGAATATAAGATTCAATTTACAATATGAGATGACTCAATATATTTTTTTATGCGATGCAATGCTATCTAGAGAAGTGTAGTTTCATTTTATTGATCACCATCGTCATTGACTCAGTGTAGTTAGTTTTCGGTTATTAAAAATGCGAAAAAAGTGGCTTCACTTCAGTTCTCCAAAATATCATGTAGAACCGAAACTATTAAATCATCAGATGCATACGAATATTTTAAATCTATGATGAGAAATTTTTTCGTATTGAATTATATATATTGAAATCTTCAATCTCAAGAATGAAAAATTGAACATTTCTCGGCATAGATTGTAGAATTTTTCTATCTATCTGATGATCTAACGATTTCGTTTCTAATTTTGTTTGAACCGACAAGCTCTAGTAGTTCGTACTACAACTGAAAATATGTTTGTAGTCATTATGTTAATCATATTCAAAACAAAATGAAATAATGATTTTATTTTCTAGTCTCATTGCTTATATGATTACCTTATGGAGACAAAAACAAAATGTGGAAGTAACCACAAAAACTCTTGAATTAGAAATCGAAAGTTGGATTCGTATGAAAACAAATGCAAATATTAATTTCAAAAGTGATCAAGCTGTTGAATTTCTTCGTAAATTAGGTAATTAAGTTTTTTTTTTTTTTAAATTTCTTTGAAAAAGAAAAGAATTTTTGTTTTTTCATTTAGGTATTCTTTTACCTGAAGATCCATCACGACCAGGTCGTTTACATGTAATTCCATTTAAACAAGTTGTTGGTATTCTTCCAAAAATTTCACGTGCATTAAGTGAAAAAAATGAAGAATGGGATTTAATTGAAGGATATGATAAAAAATATTTTGAAGTTGATTGGAAAACTGTTCTTAATGAAGATAAGCTTCTTGAAAAAGGTGGATGGCATTAAATATTTTCATAGTCAAATGGAAAAAATAAGGCTAGATTAGTGTGCAATTTATATCCTGCCATCATTTCTTTTTCTCAACGTTTTTAATTCTTTTCATCTAACATTTATTTTGGTCTGTGTGCGTGTGCGTGTGTGTATAGGAAATTTCGCTGAAGCAGTGAAATATATTATTATTATTATTATTATTATTCACAAAACCAAATATTCTTTGTATTTGTAGATAATAAACAAAAATCTATCGATCATGTCTTCAGTGGTCGATAGTGATACACATGGAGCAGAAAAAACAGGTCCAGGATCTGCAAAACAAGGTAAAATAATACTTGTGCAAAACTATAACTAACAAATAGAGTGCCGAAAAAGTCCCTCGATAGTTAATACTATCTCTTGTGTAATTCAAGCGATTTAATTGACATTTTTATTTTAAGTTTTTTTGGGTTTTGAAACATGATCTGAAAGAAATGTTGAAATATAGGGGTAAAAATTTGAACTCTTCCTACAAACATTCTCAACAACGCTTCCCTCTCCGTACTACATCCTGTTTCATATTTTAATCCCGTAGGAATTGTGCGCAACAGTCTTTTAGTAGGTGACTTAAATTTAGCCATTAATAAAGCTATTTTTTTCATTATGTTTATAGACACAAACATTTATCTAAAAATATACAGAACAAAACTTTAAAGAACATACTAACATAATATTAAAAAAAAACCGCTTAAATTGTATAAGAAATATTCACATTAGCTTTCCTAATGGACTTTTAGGACACACTGAAGAATGAATTAAAGGATCAGATTATTTCTCAGTGAATAATTTAAAGAAGATGTTGTCAAGAATCACTGTCAGAGCTTTATATGTTGATATGATCAATTTTAAAATTTTTTTCTATGCTTCTAATTAGGAGTATGACAGCTCTTTTCATATGTGTAGGAAATGAAATTTCTAAAAACTTGGTTTTATCCATATTTATGACAGTTCGATTTCAGTTCACGTGGTATAAGATTGTAGTAGTGTGCGCTAACTACACTGAGTCGATGGTCCGTCCGTACACAGAAAGTACGCATCTCTAATTGATCATAAGTAATTTGATTCAGCTCTTCCAAATCATTAATCAATGAACTTATTGATCGTTTTAAATAATCTTCTTAATTTTTAATTCAAGGACTTGGTTCACGAGCTACATCAAAAGTAACATTTCGTGATGGAGAAGAAAAGCCAAAAACACGTTCATCAGCTCATCCAACTGAAGGTGAACATCGTTCATCAAGTATACCACCAGGAGGTCTTCAACTTCAACATCAACAACTTGGTGATTTAAAAAAGAAAGATGATTTAAATCCATTTAAATTTTCACCCGATGTGGATTTTTGTGCATTAAGTCAACTTGATAAACATGAAAAAGCACAAGTAATATTTTGTTTTATTTTTGTCCTTCAAATAGATATTTTCTTTTTCATTAAAAAGGAACGTGAACGTATGCAATCTCTTAAAGTACATGAAAAATTATCGAAATCTCAACGTCTTATGAAAGGAAGACGTTTTCGTGTATTAAAAGAAATCGATGAAGAAATCGAACAGGAAGTAAAATATTCATTTTGTTTTAAATAAGTAAACATATAATTATTTTTCTATTTTATAGCGTGCTCAAAATAAAGAAAATCGTGTTGCATCAATGCGTGACAATGCACCATGGCTTGTTGCTATAACACGTAATCGTCGTGTTGAAAATGAAAGTTTACAAGATTTTATTGGAAAAAAACGTAATATGTTTGTTTTACAAGTAATTTTTATAGTTCTTTGTTTAATCATAGTTTTAATATTTTTCTTCTCGTTTGTTTTTTTCGTCTTCAAGTATGAATTAACAGTTAAACGTACTGAAATGCGTAAACTTGAAGAGATAACTGCTGCTGAAGAACAACGAATTGAAAAAGCCGAAAAAGATTTAGAAGAAGATGCAGTATGATTTCATTGTTAATTAATATAATCATTTTTTTTGCAAAATTTTCAATTTCTTTCTTTAGCATATGTTTGATCAATTTTTAGGAGCGAATAATAAAAATGCTAATGAAGCAGCTCGTTTGTAAGAATGCTTTAGTTATTTTTTTTTTTATTTTTTTTTGTTTAAATTAGAGCTGATGAAGAGGCGCGTAAAAAATTAGACAAAGTTGCAGAAATTAAACGTTTACATGGACAAATAACAGCTTTAAAAAGTGAACTTGTACGACGTGAAGATGAATTAAATGAATTAAAACAATATAAACAATTTCTTGATCAAATTACACCAACGGTACCTATCTCTGATTATTGATCTTCATAAGTAATCTAGATTTGTTTTACTCTTTTGTTTTAGGAATGGAAAGAAGAACGTCGTAAAAAACTTGAACAAGAACGTCTTTCACGTCAAAAACTTGATATACCATCATCTTTATCTGATGATCCATCGAGTAAATCAGGTAGTCGTCCACAAAGTCGTGCTGTTGATCCGAAAATTGGTAAACGTGGTGGCGGTGGTGGTCTATTATCACAAAAAAGTTTTGTTAATGTTGGTAGTCGACGTCGATCATCAGCTTCTTCTCATGATGTCGAATTAAGTGTTAAACATGGCAGTGAACTAGATATGAATAAATCACCATCTGAATTAAATATGAATGATTTAGATAATGATTTTGAATTATATTTTACTGATCCTCAACAATTATTAGCGATATTTACTGAACTTGAAGAACAAAATTTATCATTGATACAAAATAGTCAAGATCATGAAGAACAATTAGAAGAAATAACACGAGAATTACAAATAACAATGGCAAAGAAAAATCTTGAAACGGAATCTTTACAACGACAAGTTACTCAATTAGAACAAGCAATTGAATTAGAAGAACAAAAAGAAAAAGAATTAATGGCGAAAGTTGGGTAAGAAAAAAGAATTTCATATTGCAGAAAAAGAAAAGAAAAATCTAATTCTATCTTTGCTTTTTATGTTTTTTTTTGTTAGTGCTCATTCATTAGTTAATGAAGATGGTAAACAAGATGAATATCTTGCTCAATTATCAGCAGTTATAAGTGATGTTTATAAAAAAATTTTTAATGAAAATCCTGTTACAAGTGATCCATTAAAAAATCTTGCATCTGTTGAAAATCGTCTTGAAGAATTATTTCAAGAAATTGATCTTATGGATCCACAACGTTTACAAGAAGCTGAAAAGGGTAAAGAAAAAGAACGTCGTATTCGTTTACGTGAACAAAAGAAATTTGAAGAAGAACGAGCTACGGAAGAAAAGAAACGTAAAGCTGCCTTACGAGCTAAAGAACCACCTAAGAAACATATTGGTCGTCCAATAGCTGAACGATCAAGACCACCTGAATTGAAAAAAACCGATCAAGATACAATCAATAAAACAAACGAAGAAGAAGAAGAACTTGCTTATTATTTTACTTGAACATATATATCTCATTTACAGTGATGCGTCTTTTTTTCCGTCCATTTTATAATAAATTTTTTTTCCTGTTCGAATGAATTTTGAATATAATAAATATTCATTTTGCTTTAGTATATTTCAGTTTTGAAATTTTTTTAAACATAAATAAAGAGAACACCGGCAAGTTATCAACTTCATTTACTGCGGTAAACCTCCAGTATCTACCGATGAATCACGATTCACTCATAGTTGTTTCGAATGAAATCGGCCGCTTCTATTTGATACTGAACGTGAAGAAATTGCGATTTTTTCAAAAAATTTTTCTATTTTTTTTCAGTTTGATGTGCATGAAATAATGTGAATGCAGGTGTGGATGAAGTGACAAGACTTAAACCCACAATCACACCCTTCCGATTATTTTTTGGAGAAAAATATTTTACATAGCTTTTTGTAATTATTTTTCCTTGTGAGTGTGGGTGTGGATGTGAGTATGCGAATGGATGAAAGGAAGACCCACACCCACATCCTACAGAACACAAATTTAATCATACAGAAAATCGCCCTCATCATCTGTTCCAATCAATGCTGTGATTCATAAAAAAGTAATATCTTGACATATTTTGAGCTCGTCAGTCGGTACAAAAACTGTGCAAAAAAATAAGGCGATAAAGTTTAAATAGATGGATATTGTTGTTATGCCAATTTTTAAATAGATATGCAAAAAGAATGATTTGGTCATCATTTTTTCACAGCGTAAAGCTACTTAACTTAGATAATGAATCATATATTCTTCAAGTGTTCATGACATTCGATTTCATTCTCTAGACTTGGAAAGAAGCTTCGAACGGTTATTTAACTTCTGACAGTTACTATCTTTACAGTGAGTGTAAAAAAATGATAGTTCTATACTAAAATATGCGTCAAGAATCAAGTATTGATTTGATTTCTGTAGTTTTTTTTACAGATATGAGGGAGTTACTTGAACGAGTGTTTCAAGCGAATATCTACATACCAGAGCTACCGGGCTGCCCTGCGGCCTGGCAGGCACCAGGCCAGGCTAAACTTGGTTGCCTGGGTCATTTTCTTTGCATTATTTTTCCTTATCAATTTTAGCAAGACAAATGCATTCAATTCCAGCAACTAGTACTGCCATAGAATGGCAGTTTATTATTGTAGCCGGAAGATTAAAAAAAGAAGATACATGGTGGATTCGAACATCCAATCCGAAAGTATTCAGAACTCGAGGAACATCCTGACGGCAGACTAGAACACTGAGATAGACTCACGTCAGTTTATACAGTCTAGAAGCACAGATTGACTCCCGTTCATCCACTATATGATCAGAGACCATTCGCTATCAAATGACTTTCACTAGACTGAAATGTCTAAAGTAGTAGTCAGAGCAAGTCCGAAGCATCGTCTACACTGGTCATGGCTAGTCCTTTTTTAAACACCGTGTCGCCTACCACCAATCCAAATTAAACTAAAAAGCTCTAAACAACCCGCTTTCTTTGTACTAAATATATCTTCTTAATTCGTTTAAATTGATCAGTAAAGAAGAGTAAAAGAAGTATAGTGCACCTAAAAAAAATCTCAATATGTGTATCATTTATCAAATAATTGATGGATAATCAAATGCATTTAGCACATATATTAGATAGGAGAATAACAATCGTTTTATTTCCTGTCTTGTTCGCAAATCTTCATAAATTGATAACTAAAGACAATCTCTTGTGTTATGATTAAGGAAATTAATGACATGTATTATTATTTTGTTTTAAAATTATGTCGATTATCACTAGTATCATCAATTTTTCTCTTTCTAGAAAGACAATCAGAGAGTCTGCCATAATCAATAGTGAGGGCAAAGACAAATGTTATACTTTATACATTCCTGTCCTAATATATTTGATTATATTTTGTATTTTTATATGTTGAGAATGTAAGAGTAAGAGTATATCGAAACAAAAGAAAGTAAGAATAAGTAGAGAAAGCAATGTTTATTTCGTAGCTAGGAATGCTAATTCATGTTGTTTAAAACTCTCAGGTGTTCTAAATTTAAAAACATCTTCAAAATAATTTAACTATTTTTATATCGTAGTTTTATATTATTTTATTTTAAATATAAATTCTAATAATTGTAACTTTAAGAATATGAATTTAAATGCATCAAAGTTAATTTAATTGTTAGTTGAAGATGAGTAGTAATTTAGATTTCACACTTAACTAAATCACGATATGAGAAAATCTAGTTTCCTTTGAATATAAGTAGCTTTTTATTCTTGCATTTAAAATTAATTCTTTCTACACAACTAATTATTCCTAGATGATAATAATCAAAAGATATTCTTTCAAACAATGTTGTCTGAACGATCTTGTATTCTGTGAAAGATAATTTTTTATGCATGTGTCAGTATGAAAAAAACTTTGAGTCAAATTGTATTAAATAGCATCTTAGAATGATTATGAAACGCAGAAGTTGATCTCTTGATCGTATGGCTCAGTGGTCTAAGCGATGGAAAGTAATACATTGTATGCATATTTGAATCTAATTTTTATACTTATATATTTCCACTTAGACTAGTCTGGACTTGTCCGATAAGTAGGACTACAACTCGTGCTGTACTGTTCTTGACATCCTTACTTTTCCAAGCTTAAATCATTTTCGGACGGACATCCCTGTCACCTGTCCTGACTAGTCTTTCTTTCAGAAAGTCCTCGTCCAGGACTAGTCTGCATATTAGATAATAACGTTCTGTAGCAACCGGCTTCAGTCCATTCCTGTATGAGTCTTTCTCAAAAAAAGACAAGACTAGACACGTATAATGTTGCCCGTCAATCATGTAATTTAGACAGGGCTTCATGACGCCCCAAAAATCCTAGACTAGTCATGTCCTAGTCAAAGTTGAAACAAAGACTAAGAAGACGGATCGACATGACTAGAAAAATGACGAATCATTCAGTTCATCTTGTGCTTAGTTGGGTTATTGACAAACTGTCAATTTACTAATCTGAAAAATCAAAAACACTATTCGGCCTGGTTTGGCCGGCAGGCAGGCCAGGCCAGGCCCAGGCTCAGGCTGAAAAAAGTGGCCTGTTGGCAGCTCTGGGTAGAACTTCATGAAAAATTATAGAATAACCAGTAATTTAAGTAATCATAACAAAATATTGTAACAATGTTAACTCATATTTATTTTATTAACGAATATTGTTCTTATTCAAACATGCTTAAAACGATACGATAAACGAAACTTCTGATATAATATCTAATACATTTGCTACTCTTCAAAATATTTCTCACTTGTGTCACTTGAATAGGCGAGAACGACATCTATTTTGAAACAATTTTATTCTTAATAAAAAATATTTCTATAAAAGACGTTTGTCTCAGGGAATGGAATGATTCTGAAAATTTTCTATCCCATCATGTTTCATGGGCTATTTTTCAAAAGAGTTGTATCCCATGGAGCTGATGTGATGGGATTGTCCCATTTCACATGAAACCTTGACTCAGAGAATAGAAGAAGTGAAAGAATATAAAAGCAGGATACATTGTTGAAAAGCATATTCTTGCTTTGGATATTTTGTACACATAAAAAGCAAATGCGCATATTCTGACAATAATAAGAAGCAGTTCAGATATCTTTACATACGTTTATATTGCCTTTTAGATCATCACAAAAGAAATATTGACAATGAAAATTTCATTAGCTTCTCTGATAATATCTTTCATCTTGGTTCTCGTGACAGGTGCTGATTCTGGCACGCCTGTCAAAATTCGGATTAGAGCTGGGCAAGTACGGACTTTTCGAGTACGAGTACTGCGAAAATCGTGCTTGAGAACAAGAAATTTTGATACATTGAGGACATGTTCAACTGTTTAGCAACATAATCGTTGAAAAGAATTGCGTGTAAGAAATCAGCTATTCTGTTCATCTTCGAAACTCTGAAGAATAAGAATATCCTGCTCTTCGGCTATCTTAAGTTATAGGGTGTCCGCAGGTGACAGTTTCGTAAGCCCGATATATTTCCTACAACCACTTAGTAATAACTGCAGCTCACGACAGAAGGCCGGCTTGACTCGGACTTCTTTCAATCATTCACTTGAATTTTTCGCACAGACTGCCTAGCTAGATGCTAACCGCAATGATCGGTGTATGTCACAAGGTAGTTAGTATAGTATTGTGCGCTTGACTCGAGACAAGAAGCGGTGAAGAAGCGCAGAAATAGGCACTTGGTACTTATCTGATATAATACAGTCTATCTGAAAATACGAAAGCGGATGAGAGCGTTTTTTGTCTTCTCAATGTTTAATTTTTTGTGTTGAAAACAATAAAGCGGTGACAATCGATAATCTCGCAGATATTTATTTCAGAACATCTCGTAATCAGTTTTTCGAGTAGGGAATTGCAAAGTGATTCTGGTCCCGGTCCAGACGAGATCTAAAGCTTTATAAGCTGCTTCCGACGCATTTTTTATGAAGAACTAGACTATAGATTTTCATCCTTCTTATTTGATGGGGACTAAGAATGTGTAGATTTACCATTTTTATTTATCATTCCGATACAAGTCTCTCATTGATCTCGATTCTGATTTCAACACCTGAGATTTTTCGATGATATGTATAGGTTTTTAAATAGGCGTACTCGTACGATATACACATATTTGTTGTTGGGATACTTCTCTATATTTCAAAATGGAACTTTATCACTATTTGCGAATACGAGCAAAAATGTAAAAGCTTAGGCTTAATTTTGCTAGAACTCGTTTGTTCTTAAAAAAATTATCAGGATCAGAAGCAATAGAGAATTTTAACCGGACCTACGATCGGAGCCAATAAAAAATTTTGACCGGATGTAGAACCAAGACCTGGACAAGAAAAAACCTAACCGAGATCGGAACCGGGACCATGAAAACAAATTTAACTGGTAGCGAGATCAAAGAAAAGCGATTTTTCAAGGATCTATTTTCGAGACGAAACCGTACTCTCCAAAGAGATGATCGAAAGCTGTACCATTCTTCCGAGCGATACGCCTGCGACTTAAAAAGGGATTGCGAAGTATGCAGAATAAACTGTTGCAGTGGTATGAAAGGTCGCCACTGAATTAATCTCAACATTAAATGCTGAAATATTTAGGGACGAAGAAACAGTCGTGTCAATTCTCAACATTTAGAGCACTTCAAAGTCGAGTACGTGTGCAAATACGTGCACGAGTACGAGTACGAGTACGAGTACCAACAAAATCGTATTCGAGTTCGAGTACTTCGAATATTTTGCCCAGCTCTGATTCGGATCGAAGGCTACAACAACACTATCTATGTATGTTATTGTATTCTGATCCAAGAACTTTTTCTATTACCTATTTTTATTCTTCTTTTCCAATACAGGAGTCAACAATCTTTATGTTTGGACGAAATATCACAACCGAATCAGGCGGAACACATCATTGTGATGGTACAAATTTGAATAGCTATCCAACACCTGGACCCACGGCTACGAGTGCTCTTGCCGATGCTGCCGATCGTGGTCATTTCACTTTGGATGGCACATTCTATAGTCAATATGATGACTTCTTCATAAGGCGCGTTGACAAAGAACAGCCAACAATCACAAAATTCTGGGGTCTTCTAATCAATTTTAACAAAACGAAAGTGGGAGGTTGTCAAACAGGTGTTGAGCTCAATGACGAAGTTCTTATTGCCTTCGACGCATCTTGAGAGTGTGGGCGTGGGTGTGTGGGTGTGGGTGTGGGTGGGTGTGAGTGTAGGTGTGTGTAGGCATTTTTCTTTTGTTTATTCACATCCACACCCACCCCAATGTTAGAGAGATCAACAGAATAAATATCTTACTTTGTTCATTCTTGGTGCATCAGCCAGATGTTTTGCCCCAATACCACTAATTTCATTGGCATACAATTGCAGCGTTTTCAGGTTCTATATGAAAAAGTGAATATAATCACATAAGTTGAATACCAAGGTACTCTAATGTCTTTGTCTACAATGATAACGCGCCATTAATAAACATTTATGCGACTGCTTAGTTTAATATTTAGCAGTGAGTTAATTAACTGCGCGTGACTTCGAAGTATATAAATTGTTATGCAACTCGACTAGATGATCTAACTCTTTCTTATAGAATACTCTGTACAATGAATGTAATCAAGCACAAAAAGCCGATTATTGATTAAGTTCAATCTAAAACATCTAATCTCGTCCCTAAGACGCAGAGAATAATTTTCAATTACAATTTTGGAAAATTTTAGGCAATGAAACAAATTCGACTTTGTTGTTTCTTGATGGTTGTAATAAATTTAGCAATCATCAGTATACTATGTAAATTAAATAGGCAATATTGACTAGAAATCCGTGTATCCCTTATGCAAGGCAGATATTATGCACAATTTACTTTCGACTTTCTATTAATTCTACACTTACTTGAGCAAAATATTTATATCGACCGTTAGGAAAAGACGATTATTTATGGGAATTTAGTAATAGATAATTTAGTTACTTCAAATGAGATTTTCAAAATTCAAATTCTCAGTTGAAAAAACAATAAACTGATTATTGACTTTAGATTTGAATTTGAATGGATGGTAGCATAATAATGAGCAAACGAACAAAATATTCAAGGTGAATACTTATGGAAACATTTATGATTATCAACATTATGTTTTACCGACCTATAAATCAATGCAGTCAATAAAGACCATTTCACCGAATACAATGTTTATAAAATAAGGATTTCAATTCGATTTTCCAATGATTAGACAGAACCACAATTTTCATACGTATTTTCAACGATTGTTTTTAAAATGGCATAGATTTTTTTCTCGTATTCTTCCGAATTCTATATTTTAATCTTAGGATGAGACACCAGTAGAGGTAGAGTGTTTTCAAGTATTTGGAATAGTTCTACCATACAGAATTCTCACTTTGTAATCAGCATTTCACGACTGGTATTATTTGACGCTATTTTCTCACAAGAAGAAAAGTACTCTGGGCACGATCGATGTTACTTTCTTACTCTATTAATTGCTAGTTCTTGTGCCACAACCTCCATATCTTGATCAGTGTACTTCGAACTAGTCAAATTGAGAGTTGCATTGTTCCCATCATTAGTAATACGTTGTCGAAGTTGTTGATTTTCGTATTTTGGAATTTTCTGCAACTTGATGTTCCGAATTTGACCTTCCACCTCTTCTAATTGCTCAAGACCTGATATAGAATTTGCGTTCCTTGCCAATGGTCTCAGTTCTATTAAGTTGGAATTAGTCCTCTTTATATATTCTTCCAATAATGTTTTTGCTGCCAATCGTTTCTTCAGTTGTTTTTCCTTAGAAACAACCACAAAATTGAATACTTGTTCAATCAAGTTCTGCTGTTCACCCTGAAGCAGAGGTTTATACTCTTCAATTGGTTTTTGGGTGTGTGTGGGTGTGGATGTTGTGTTCTTTAATACACTCACACCTACACCCACACCCATACCCACACCCACACAATCAAAACGAAAGTATCGTCATCTGTATGAGGTCAACGAACAGAACTACAAGTGAACTTAAACACCTGAAAACGCACGAAGTGTAACACAATGTTGCTCATTATTTGCCTACTAGCAGAAACACCCACTATAAGCTAACAAGATAAAATTTTATAAAAGAAAATAAAAATAAGGCCGACTTTATTCTACTCTATTATCATTAGTTAAAATGTCATATTCACGAAAACAAAAATGTCAGTATTATATAGACAGTGCCATCGAAGAAAGGTTTGTCACCAACGATTTTAATAACTTTGAATTCTACAGGGTGTCCCAAAAGTCGCACTACACTCTGAAAACCTTCGATTTCTCCACTATAGTTTGATCAAATTAAATGATTTTTTTACCAGTGATAGAGGAACACTGATACGTCGTTCTTATAAGAAAAAACATCGAAACACACTCTTTTAAAGTCTCACGGCTGGCTCAATAAAAGTTCATAGCCGTGCATTATGTCATGATCGTGAGCCAAGTTACTTTGCCNGATCGTTTACGGTCGTGTAGGGAGCATATACAGTCGTATACAAAGTCCGTAATTGTCGACCTGGAAAATTATTAGTCAGTTGAATTTTAATTGATAATGAGAATATGAGTGTGTAGATTATCATTTTGGAAATTACAGTGTATTTTTATATGTCATAGAGAATACTTCAACATCTGATTATAGACCTTATATTCATGTAGGAAAATAATTATTGATTGATTAGTTTATATAGAGTACATATTCACTAAAATATGCCGTGCCTATGTGGAAACTGTTCTAGATGATTCATAATCTACTCGAACTTTTTTTTTGAAAAACAAACCCTCATAGTATTTTGTTTTCCTTATAAATGTTGTCTGGTTAGTCAATATTGTAGACCATTTTTCAACTAAAACTAGAACTTTTTTCAACTTTTTTTAATCACTCTGTAGAGGAGAAAAATTTGTACAACATATGCGAAAATTAGTCTGGGATCTCATAAAATAACTGAATGGCAGCTGAGGCAATGAAAAAATCCACATATTTTTTACTCGAAAAAAAAACCGAATAAAATGAGTTTGATCCATTGAAAAAGGATATGTAAACACCTCATTTTGTTCAGTTCTGACGCTCTATCGTTTGGTATATTACATTAAAAATTTTGTTAATTCTTTGCTGCTCAAAATAACTCAACTTTATATCGATGATTTTTGACGATATTCTTCAAATAGTCTTGTGAGTGCTCAACAGTAAAATTAAATTAACTTTTCACCGGCTCAACCAAATGCGCTAAAAATTTGGATTTAGAGTTTTTAAATGATGCCAAATAAAATGAGAACATCAAATCAAAAAACTAAATTTTATCGAGTGTTTCGATTCCTTGATGGTCTCATGGACCGTCCCTTAAATATGAATATGAGATTCGCCAACGCATTCGAGAAATTTCTGTGGAATACATACAAGTTCAAATTATTCGATGTCTAATAGACGTTCACTTGAGAGTGTCTTTTTCTGTAGTGCATACACAAAATAAATCATGTTAAATAGAGTAATAATTCAAAATGAATTAGTGAATTGTATGCCCTTGTAGATTAAATGATATATTTATGATTCAGTTCTAAATAAACCTGGAAGCAAAAAATTCAGAGTTAGCTTCCTTCAAATCATTAACTTTAGTCACTGACTATATAAAATATGATGGAGATGCTGTTTTCATATTATATATTGTTAGGTAAAGGTCACATTTCAGGAGCAATGGAACTGAATACATACAAAAATAATTGCTTCGCTGTCTTAGTGAAGGCAGGATACTATATGTTCTCTATCAAAATGCGAAGCTTCCAACAAATCAATTATTGGATTCTTTGCTGACTCTAAAGATCTGACACTACTGTCTAGCGAGTGCTACCCTGAAAGTATTTTGGATCGATCTGCCTCTTAGAAAATCGACTGGTATCATCATGCCATGCAATTATCTGTCAAAATGTTGAATCGCCACAACAGATCTTTCACGATATATTACAGGTGCTACACAAACCAGAAAATATGTTACCACCAAGACATTGCGACGGTTCTTTTCTTCCATGACAGACGACCTACTTTAGAAACCATCAGAATCTAAAGTAGTACATCTACTCTTATAAATGAAACCAGCGAACATGCACTCAACACTTTAATCCATAAATCATTATCTTAAATGTCAAAAAGTACTCTCACAGAAATGCATGCATAATAGGACAGAACCCACTCAACAAACTTTTGTTGACAAAGACCAATCTAACCCACAGAAGTGATCCAATATGCACATCACCAGTGACCAATCAACAATTTGAAACAAATCCACATACAACAGTATACAGGATGAAAATATACATTGCTTCCGAATTAGCGTACAATATCCATTCAGTTTAGAGCTCCTCAATCAGGAAGCCAAGAGCAGCACCGTCAACAATCACATACACTCGGCATTACCACAAAGCAACAATTGGAAAACAACCACTTAAAACCAATGCATATCCTCAGAACAAGAGCAACAATGCGAAATTTCTAACGAGACATACACTTACACAACCAAGATATCGCTGCATCCAAGATGTTACATGACATTTATAGCAGCACAAACATCACCGCTACCGATTATACAGTTCGTCTTCAAGAATATCCAGAACCATGAAAATCATAGCCTAAAATTCCTAACAAAAAGACTCCACATATGAAACGTGACCATCTCATGACTGATAACAATTTGACAAAGACAATCAAAGCAAATATACCCAACGCTATGTCCGATTAAAAACCATACTAGAGACTGTTTTCCTGCTATAAGACGCTGTATCTAACGCAATTACAAGAAACAACAAAATCTCTAAGATGACGAAAGGGCATTGATCACTTTCAAATGTTTTACAAGTCTTTCGCATTAGTAGAAAAAAGGGAGATTGAACATGATGAGATGGGTCGAATTAATTGCACCTTCTTGCTGTTATTCGAGCTTTATCTCGAAAAATCGGCCTATTTTCATCATTTGTTCACTCGTTCTGTGCCTCTCACTCAATCTATCTATCTCAATACACATCGCAACAGTGCGGGTGCTGTGAAAGAAGTCACACTAAAAAAACGAGAAACATGATTATGCACTCAATATGATTGAACATTGTTTCGCATTTGTAAGAGTATGTATGGGTGTGAGTGTGGTATATATATGCAAACATATAC